TTGCAACTAAAGCCTCAAGTCCTCCTAATTGCCACATTCACAAATCCCAAATTTCCAATCCTAAAATTGTGAAAAATCTCTAAATCGTCGAACTGTACATTTACTTTCGAAAGATGGTCCTACAGCGATCTCCCTGCAGGTATACTAGCAGGATAATCGTCGAGCATAAACCGTATAGACGAGTCTCTGCGCCGATTTCCTTGAACTCGTGCAATTTTATTGTCGTTGCACGATTATTATGCCGGTGTAAGTGCGTTGTAAACATCGGGGTCGGTCCGTGCAGCATTGTGCATCCGTTTTATGGAGGTTCACCCTGAAGCTTGCACCTTTAAGCTTTGTTACACACGCAATTTCACCGAACTCGAAAATTATTTAACCAAACACTTATTATTTAATTTTATAAATTTATAAACAAGTCGTATTAACGACTATAAAATTCAATTTACAATTAAAACACAAATAAATATACAAGTCTTCGAGTTTACAAGCAGATTACAAGCTTAACATTTTATTTACAGTTTTAAAATAAATAAGTACAATTAGAACACGATATGCAAGTAAATCTTCGAGTTTGCAAACAGATTAGAAGCTAGAAATTTTATTTACAGTACTAAAATAAATAAATACAATTAGAACACGATATGAGTTTGCAAACAGATTAGAAGCTCGAAATTTTATTTACGGTTTTAAAATAAATAAGTATAATTAAAACACGATATGCAAGTAAATCTTCGAGTTTGCAAACAGATTAGAAGCTTGAAATTTAATTTACAGTACTAAAATAAATAAGTACAATTAGAACACGATATGCAAGTAAATCTACGAGTTTGCAGACAGATTACAAGCTAGAAATTTTATTTACAGTACTAAAATAAATAAATACAATTAGAACACGATATGCAAGTAAATCTACGAGTTTGCAAACAGATTACAAGCTTGACATTTTATTTACAGTATTAAAATAAATAAATACAATTAGAACACGATATGTAAATTTGGCGATGTAGAAATTTGGGAATGTTGAAATTTGGGGATGTGAAAGTTGGGGATGTGGAAACTCAGGGATGTGGAAATTCAGGGTTGTAGAAATTTGGAGATGTGGAAATTGGGGGATGTGGAAATTCGGGAATGTGGAAATTCAGGGATGTGGAACTTCGGGGATGTAGAAATTTGGAGATGTGGAAATTGGGGGATGTGAAAATTCGAGGATGTGGAAATTTGGCGATGTAGAAATTCGAGGATGTTGAAATTTGGGGATGTGAAAGTTGGGGATGTGGAAATTCGGGAATGTGGAAATTCGGGAATGTGGAAATTCGGGAATGTGGAAATTCGAGAATGTGGAAATTCGAGAATGTGGAAATTCGGGAATGTGGAAATTCGAGAATGTAGAAATTCAGGGATGTGAAAATCCGACAATGTAGAAATTTGAAGATTTGGAAATTTGGAGATAGCTTGCAATTGTATTTACAGTTTTAAAACAAATAAATACAATTAGAACACAATATCCAAGTAAACCTTCGAGTTAGCAAACAGATTACAACCTCGAAATTTTATTTACAGTTTCAAAACAAATAAATTCCAGAATTAAACGAATTACAAAACGTGAAATTTCTACAAAGGAGTTCGTAAAACAATTCCGAAACGCGATAGAATTTAAAAAGGCGCAGTAAAAATCAAGGTGGATTTAATAACATTTGAAACGTTATCGCGCTAAAAAAGACTCGTACGCAAAAGTTAGCAGAATGAATGAATGAATGGCGAGCTACGATTAGAGTATATACATAGTGGAATGCTTTAATTTCGTCGGTTGGTTTATGAACACCGACCGACTTAATTCCATTTAGAATCGCCGTGCATTTAACGTCGCATTCTACGATTGTGTAACAACTTGTTGCGATATTCTCGTTTTCCCACGGCACGTATTTAATTTGCACTCTGCTCCCGTTTGTGTATGTCTATATATATTGTGTATAATGGGTGCACGGCCACGAAAATTGCTCCGATCAAAATTACATCGAAAACATTTGATAACGTGTTCGTTTGTTTCGATTATTTAATAACATTATTGTAATTCGTTTTGGAAACATTTTTCACTCGGTCCTAAACAATTTTCATTTAACTTTAAGCATTGTAGTTCTTTTTGGTCTAAATACTTTAATTATAAAATAGTTAGTTTAATTTTACTTAATATTTAATATTTAATATACTTAATATTTTTCACACGGTCATAAACGGTTTCCATTTAGATTTAATCATTGTAGTTCTTTTTGGTCAAAATACTTTAATTATAAAATACTTTATTTAGTTTAAAATCGGTCGTTGTAATCGATAATCAAGTATTAGGAACATTAATAAATTAAATAATCTTTTTCTTTGAACTTGGAGCTTTATCTCAATGTATCATAAGCGCCATTTTGATAACGTGTTCGTTTACTAACATTTTTCACTCGATCCTAAACAATTTTCATTTAACTTTAAGCACTGTGGTTCATTTTGGTCAAAATACTTTAATTATAAAATACTTTATTTAGTTTAAAATCGGTCGTTGTAATCGGTAATCAAGTATTAGAAACATTAATAAATTAAATAACCTTTTTCTTTGAACTTGGAGCTTTATATCGATGTATCATAAGCGCCATTTTGATAACGTGTTCGTTTGCTAACATTTTTCACTCGATCCTAAACAATTTTCATTTAACTATAAACATTGTGGTTCGGTCAAATTATAAAATAGTTCACCTACTTCAAAATCGGTCATTGTAATCGATAATCAAGTATTAGAAACATTAAAAAATTAAATAATCTTTTTCTTTGAACTTGGAGCTTTATCTCAATGTATCATAAGCGCCATTTTGATAACGTGTTCGTTTACTAACATTTTTTACACGGTCCTAAACAATTTTCATTTAACTTTAAACATTGTGGCTCAGTCAGATTATAAAATGGTTTACCTATTTCAAAATCGGTCATTGTAATCGATAATCAAGTATTAGAAACATAATCTTGTTCATTGAACTTGGAGTTTTAAACCGATGTATCATAACCACCATTTTGTAATTCTTTTCTGTCACCAACACACGCTGTTCAATCGAACACTGTTTACCGTAACTGACCGTGAACATACTGAATATGCTGACCATATTTAATATCGAATACATTTACGAATCTTTACGCAATCATTTGATGAAAATGAACACATATCGCTTAGCAAACTTTGATGTCGCGTCCTTGGAAGACTCCTCAAAGCTAACACCATTTATCTCCGTAATTTACTGTTTGCAACAAAAACTTTGAGTTACAAAGTTGTGCAACAACGGTAGCTCACAAGTTCCATCAGCAAACAAGTCCTATACACGGCAGATAATAATGAACGAAAGAACTGGGAAATAAAGGTGTACCGTTACAGCTCTAACAGCTGCCTTTAAGGATGAAACGTGCGCATAGAACCTGCTTATATTTAGCCTCTCCATAGACAACCATTCAAATAAAATTTAATGAAAGGTAAACGAGTAATGGGTTGAAAAGACTGTAAATTAGAAATTGATTTAAATCACCGTTTAACGTTGAGTATTTTTTAATGAAACTTCATAGAGAAACGTTTCGAGTATTTTCGAAGATGGAAGCTGTGCATAGCTCTACGCCTATGTTTATAGAGGGTTGTAATTCGAGACCGCCTCGAAGGGAGAGTGGGGTAAAAGTGGCTACCCTAGGTTATACCTGCGAAAATCTATTCAGTTCGGTACTCGTCTAGTGTTGAGGCAACACGTCCTTTCGTGGCAGTACGTGGGGAACGTTGCTCCCATGGCTTCCTTTTCCTTTAGTTCCAAAATCTCGAGCCTACGAGCTCCGAAATCCTAGAGATCCAGAACTCCAGTGCTTTCGAGGTAGATTCCATCGTTGCAGTGTCAAAATTTTGATGTTCACGATTCCAAAATTCTAAAGTTCCAAAGTTGTGAAACTCCAGAATCTTAAAGTCCTAAAACTGTGAAACTCCAGAATCCTAAAGTTCTAAAATTGTGAAACACCAATATCCTAAGGTTTCAAAGTTGTGGAAGCCCAGAATCCTAAAGTTCCAAAACTGTGAAACACCAGAACCCTAAAAGTCCAAAACTGTGAAACACCAATATCCTAAAGTCCCAAAGTTGTGAAACCCCAAAATCCTAAAGTTTCAAAACTGTGAAACTCCAGAATCCTAAACTTCCAAAACTGTGAAACTCCGAAACCCTAAAGTTCCAAAACTGTGAAACCCCGGAACTCTAAAATCCCCAAACTGTGAAACATCAAAATCCTAAAGTTCCAAAACTGTGAAACCCCAGAACCCTAAAATCCCAAAACTGTGAAACCCCGGAACCCTAAAGTTCCAAAACTGTGAAACACCAAAACCCTAAAGTCCCAAAGTTGTGAAACCCCAAAATCCTAAAGTACCAAAACTGTGAAACCCCGGAACCCTAAAGTTCCAAAACTATGAAACACCAAAACCCTAAAATCCCAAAACTATGAAACCCCAAATCCCTAAAATCCCAAAACTGTGAAACCCCGGAACCCTAAAGTTCCAAAACTGTGAAACCCCACAACCCTAAAAAAACCCCAGAACTCTAAAATCCGAAAACTGTAAAACACCAAATCCCTAAAATCCCAAAACTGTGAAACCCCAAAACCCTAAAATCCCAAAACTGTGAAACCCCAAAACCCTAAACTTCCAAAACTGTGAAACCCCACAACCCTAAATTTTCAAAGCCCCAAAACCTCAAACCAAAGCTACCAACAAAAATTTAACAAGTGTTAAACCAACGTGCCCAAGTGTTTCCACATTTAGTGCAGTGAATCAACAGCCCCGACTAGCGATTCCAATCACAAATCAATTACCACGACTGACAGTAAGAACCCATATCCCAGCTACCCATAAAAACAGTATCTCTCAACATAAAAGTAGAAAATGTTTCTGATGATACGTGAAATAATAAGAGAAACGGTGTTGAAGCATACGTCGATTGTTTCAGGATGGATGTACCACGTGGTTGACTGTACAGTGTTAGGTATAACACGACAGCAGAAGCAGGCGATCGCTATTCACTGTTTGCAAAAGTCCATCGAAGCGGAACCGAAGAGCGGGCAAAGCCTTTACCTGTTGGGACGTTGCCTGGCTGCCTCTGGAAAAGTTCATGATGCGTTTATCGCATACAGGTAATCTGTCCTATGACCATCAGGCTTTAATCTTCAAATTATTACGCGGACACATCGGTCGGCCAGCTAAGCCTCTTAACGAGCCAGTCTGGCTAATTCCTCTACCTTGTTGCTCTTTATTTTTCATCGCGTTAATACTGCGGGAACATCATTTTTGTAACGAGAGAATTTCTGCTCAAAATGCGGAGCTTACAGATTGAAACATTTACGTCTAAACTTCTTTCGTATCTTTCTCGACATGATTTTGTGGAAACTCAGTACTTTTTTCCTTCCAATACAAATGTTAATGTTCAGAGTGTAACGAAGGTTGATTACTTTTTTTTTCTTCCGATACAAATGTTAATGTTGAGGATGTAAATACTGCGGGAACATCATTTTTTTAACGAGAGAATTTCTGCTCAAAATGCGGAGCTTACAGATTGAAACATTTACGTTTACGCTCCTTTCGCGACATGAATTTGTGACAACTCAGTTCTTTTTTTCCTTCTAAAACAAATGTTAATGTTGAGGATGTAAATACTGCGGGAACATCATTTTTGTAACGAGAGAATTTCTGCTCAAAATGCGGAGCTTACAGATTGAAACATTTACGTTTACGCTCCTTTCGCGACATGAATTTGTGACAACTCAGTTCTTTTTTTCCTTCTAAAACAAATGTTAATGTTGAGGATGTAAATACTGCGGGAACATCATTTTTGTAACGAGAGAATTTCTGCTCAAAATGCGGAGCTTACAGATTGAAACATTTACGTCTAAACTTCTTTCGTATCTTTCTCGACATGATTTTGTGGAAACTCAGTACTTTTTTCCTTCCAATACAAATGTTAATGTTCAGAGTGTAACGAAGGTTGATTTCTTTGCAGAAATTCCGTGGAAAAGTCCGAGGGAAATGCTGACACTTGGTGCAGCATAGGCGTGTTATACCAACAGCAGAATCAGCCTATGGACGCATTGCAAGCCTACATATGCGCGGTACAATTAGACAAATCACACTCGGCTGCGTGGACTAATCTGGGCATTTTGTACGAAAGCGTTAGTCAACCGAAAGACGCTTTAGCGTGTTACGTCAACGCATCCAGGTAAAGTAATCCGTCGGTGTAGAGGTGGTTGGACACCTTTCCGTTCTATGGAACCGAGTACTGCGTGTGTGTGTGCTGTGTGTAACGCAATCATGTAACTTTTGTGTCCGTAGAAAAGGTTTCTTAGATCATGGAGTTTCAATATTTAGCATTTGTGACGGGAATTTCAATCTCGCAGGCATGATCATGCTCAAAGCATATTTGGATAGTCAACTGTGTAGAGAAATACTGTCTGTTCGTTCTATCTACTGTACTATTCTATCTTCACGTATTCGCATATTAAATACTTGAAAATACAGGACCTTCAAAGTAACATATCTTCAGCTATGATTAATTGGAATTCGGGTTTAAAATTGTGCTCTCAGGTTTGCATGTTTAACAATTTTGAAGGTGTCAGACTTTCAAAATTAAGAAATTTATAAAATTGTAAAACCCGACTGATGACGAGGCTGCAATTCATTCGACGCTGATCATGTCTGTTACAAGAAACTTAAGAATAACCCCGAATTTGTTTCCACTCTCACTATCCGTCTCTTCCGTGATTTCGACAAATGTGTACAACATAATCAATGTACTTTCTCTTTCAAATCGAATAAACATGTCGTATCGATCACAGCTCCTCTTCCATTTCACGTAGCACCTAATGATCTACGATTTCGAAGTAAAGGGTAGAAAACGTTCACACCTTCCGACACCTCGCAGTATGTTTCTGTTTAACCCTTGACCGCCATGATTCAGAGATACACGATGTACTTTACATTAGATGTAACTTTGTCGGGGGTGAAATCAGGCCCTATCATGGTACTTGGGGGTTAAGATTAGAACTCTCAATTGTCGGCCATCTTCGCTTTCCACTGTATTTATGTACATACTATACCTCTTACAAACGTTTAAGCTGCATAATAAGCGCCTTCATTCAATGACGTATCGCTCATAATAGCGCGATGTACGAGAAAAATGAGTAAGTCGTTGGAGATGGGTTAGCGTTCAAAGAAAAGGAGAGACAAAGAAAGCTTACCTATCCACGGAGTCCAAAACGAGTGATAAAACATAGGTTCTTTTTGTTTCCTTTAGGGGTAATAACAACACTCCAAATTGCGCGGGCTCGTTGGCGAGTCTAGGTGGTGCCAAGTCCGGTGGCAACACCCCGATGAACCCATCCCTCCAACAACGGATCAACTTCCTGCAGAGTCACCTGAGCCAAGCACCGATGCCTTCCGTCGCTACCAAGTGAGTTTGTTTAATCGCAGAAATCAATTTACAGTAGACTTCCTCTTGGTCCCTGGAGGACCTGTTCGCCCACCACAAGATGGGACCTCAAACTGCGATTGATTCGAGCCAAAAGTGTATTTGCAACACTGATTACAGCAATACACCAGAAATACAAGGAAACCTCCTATGAATTCCTATGAATTCATCTTGTGGTGGGTGCTGCTTTAATACGTATGGCCAGCTTTTGTGAAAATATATGTACAAGGTAGGTATGCACAATTTCGCCATGTTAAATATCCTATTTTGTTAAGGTATATTTTATATGAAAGAGTATTTTAATACAACTGGCGAAATTGCCATACACTGTACATAATCGCCATGCAGCAAGTTTTTGCTTTGAAAGAAATTTTTGTTAATTATAATTGACTCGATTAACAGAGTACTAGATTTTAGATTCTACCAAATCATCCCTCCGAGTAAGCTACACTGTTATATTGTCACCATTCACAAGTTCTTTTTCAGCACCCTTAGGACATTGAAAAATCCTAAAATTTCCCAAAACCTATGGCAATTCCATCTATGGCAATATAACGAGAGCCCATTGTAAAGGAAAACTAGATAAGGGGGAGTCTACTGTGTCTGTGAATATGATGATCGAGCTATATCTTGCATTGTTTTGTCCGGTTCTGTTGGAGGATGATATGAGATTCGCGATGTCCCTGGGTGATTTATAGCGAACCTCAAGTTTCTGGTTGTAACGTGTACTCCTTTTGGAAGGGTTCAACGTTTTGCCAGCATTGCTGTATCGTCAGAGGACCTAAACGGGTGATCGATGTCAGTATTGATCCGATGCTGATAAGTATTTCGAAAGGAGATAAACAATGACACTTGGAAGCTTTCAGTAATTTCAAGTGTACGAGATTCTCTGGCTAAAATGTGTGACAAATACCTGAATGTTAAATGTGTAAGATACGAACGCATTGTTTCTCAACAAAAATTTTTTAATAAAATGGGAAGGTATTTAATCCCTGTCTGGATATATAGATAATCAATGATATAACGGTAAGAAACTGTTATTCATATGATGGTGATAAGTAACACGTTGATTGTCATAGCAGACAATCATACTTATTTTGGTGCTGTTATGTCATTTAGTTGAATCAAATACATGATGTAAATCATCTGACCTACATAGCAGTCAACGTGTTAAATAGCTATTTTTATAATTCTTGTAGAATTATATCTGTTTAACCCGTTAATACCAAAAGTTACAGATATTATTATTTGCCTTAGCACGTCAAGTGTCAAAGCAGAGTACTATCTTAAAGAAGTAACATACTTTTGATTCTTGGAATTAATGGGTTAATTTATAGCTACTTTGTATAATAACAGCTTTATAATACTGGATTATATCTTTCAAACAAATTAAATTTTTTAGTATCGGTCAATATTAACTCTATGTTGCTATCAGCATGTTAAATATTTATTTTTATAATGTCAGTAGGCTTGTTGCTGATTTGTAACAGCCTTGCAATACTGGTAAATGGTTCGTTACACAATATAAATTTTTGTCATGAATATATATATATAAACATATATGTCTTTTTTTTTAATTTTTTCTCTTAGTTTTTGCTTTTAAAATGGCATTGAGTTGTGAATGCTCGGTACACTTTAATTCGCCATTTTTTATATATAAATTTTTGTTGAAATCAATGCATAACAAATTTAAATTTTAAGTTGTTAAATACCATTGAAATTGTGATTTTAATTATGGTATTACACGTACAATGTTGTTTGAGGTTTCCAGGTGTAAATACAGTCAATCCTTTTGAATGTTTCAATGTTTGCAAATAATTTAATTCGTTAATATTGCTCTTCCAAAAGGACACGCCATTCGTTCATTAAAAATTCATGACATTTAAGAGCAGTAATATGAACATGAATGTGATAACAGATTTAACAAATATAAATTATGTAGTGACTTAAATTAATCAAATAAGTTGTAATCTAAAAAAGTAAATGATTTCATAATGTGTCCAGTTACTGTTTGTATGTACTTGTTTAATTAAGATGTATTGATGTAATATAATATTTTGCTATAAGCATTCAACTTGTTATGTACAACGCTGATATCGCTTATTTAAATTGATTGCTTTTACAACATGATATACTTGACAGTAAACTTCAAACAAATTTGGAGCCATAACGATACTTATATTAACTGAAAAGACTTTCGTAGCATATCTTTCTTCTAATACATGTTTTAAAAGCTTTGCAAATTATATAAGTTCAATTATAAGTCTAATCATTAATTAATGCAATAATCCAGATACTCTTTGAAAATTGTATGAATCTGAACTCTTAACCTACTTTCTGCAATTAACATGTATTATTTACAATTTATAGTTTGCCATGAATTACAAATAATTTATGGTAGAAATTTGTCTGGGTTACAGTCCAAATGTAGAAATTAAATTATTTATTAATAACACAGATTTTATTTATTTTATATTACCTTATATTTTTTTCTTTGAACTATTTGATGACAAAGATATTTTCATGATTTTCCTCCATATGAGTTAATGATTTTTACACAATGCATTTTTTATGTCAAATTGTCTTTAGCAAGATTCATTGACATCAATAAATGATTGTCAAATGGATGAATTGTAATGATACATACACCCATTAGTAGGTGTTAGTCTCATTAACATGTAACATTTATATTTTTAATCAAGGAGGCGGCAATTGCCGTCTATAGAAGAGGCTTGGAACTTACCCATCAGCGCTGAGATGTCTAGCAGGCAGCAACAGCAACAACAACCACCTACTGGTCCAGGTTACAAATACGGTACAACACCTGCTGGGCCACCACCTCCGTATCCCCAGGGACAGGGACAAAATCTTAATACAAAAAGATTTAAGGTAGTATTTTAACTTTAATACGTAAGATCCTAATTACTAAAATAAATAACATTTTCAGCCAGGGGAAGAACCAATCTCTCCAGGTTCGCAACAAAGACCACCACCCTTTTACCTTACGTCACAGCAACTACAGATGCTGCAGTTCCTTCAACAAAATCATGGAAGTTTAACACCACAGCAACAAGGTTTGCTTGGTCAGTTGCAGCAACAGTATCGGTGTATGCAACAGCACCAACAGCAAATTAGATTGCAACAACAACAAGCGGCACAGAGAGGGTTGAGGCCTGGTCAACCTGGTTACCCCACTGGGTACAATCATGCACAATTGGGACAACCTGGTGTGATCAAGAACTATGGAATACCTCAACAACCGGTACTTTGATTTTTTGTATAATATATCTACTAAAAAATTACATTTTTTAGATACTTTACTTCTTATAAAATATAATAAACAGTTAAAAGTAATTTACGTTATTTCTTTTTAACAGCTGCAGCAGGGTGGAACCGTTGCATTGCAAACTGGCTTCTCAGACTCCAATGTTGGTTATAACACAGCAGCAACTGGCAACAGCCAAACACCAGGAATGCCTTACAAGTCCGCTTCTGATCCAAATTACCCTCAGAGGCAACTCTCGTCCGGCCAATATAACCAGTACCAGCCTAACCAGTATACCGCCCAAGGATACACTCAGATATCATCGACAACAAGTAATTATCCAGAAGGTTCAGCCGGAAATAAAGATCTAGGAGTAACGGATCAAGAATTGCAAGCTCTGTTATCGCAAAAAGACATTGCAACGTCGCTAGCGGAAGATCTGTTGAAGCATTTCGGTTCGGAGGACTTAGACGTAAAGGAAGAAGCGCCTAGCATTATGAACAATGGTACTCTAAGTTCGGGTCCGTTTTCACCGTCGAACCTAGAGGAAAATACGGAGAAGATCAAGGAAGTGAAACTGGAGAAAGTGGAAGATACTCAACCGTCGTCCACGTCGAAAATCGAGACGTACGAGAAGAATAATTCGAAGGCACCTACCCCGGTGGTAGAAACAGTGAAGTGCGAGGCGACGTCAAGTACAAATAAAATAGAACCAATTGCGAGAGTTGAGCCGGTTCTCAAATTGGAAAGGTTGTGTGAGTCGCAACCCGAGCAAGAACTTAGCATAGAGATGGACTCGAAAACTATAGTCGATGCGTGTAAGGGTCAGGGGTTAAAAGGTGTGCCAAACTGCTCTATACTGAGCGATCGTTCGCCACCACCAGCGCCACCTGAACCCCCAAGTCAAAGGCTAACCAAGGAACAGCTCTTACCACCGACTCCTAGCGTTTATTTAGAAAATAAGAAAGACGCGTTCAGTCCACAACTTCAAGAGTTTTGCTTGAAGCATCCGATAGCTGTGATCCGGGGGCTGGCAGCGGCTTTAAAGTTGGATCTCGGACTATTTTCCACGAAAACGCTGGTCGAAGCGAACCCGGACCACGGCATCGAGGTGAGGACGCAGATGCAGCAAACCAGCGACGAGAACTGGGACCCTGTCATGGGCAGGAAAGTTTGGGGTTGTATCAGCCATAGAAGTCATACAACCATCGCGAAATACGCACAATATCAAGCCTCTAGCTTTCAAGAAAGTTTAAAAGAGGAAAGGGAGAAGGCTCAGGGTATACACACTTCGAATCTGTCCGATTCCGATTCGAAGGATAGCACTGGGGCTGTTCGGAGGAAGAAGAACGCTTTCGGATTAGCGGGTCGACCGGGCTCCAAAATGCTGCGGTTTGGGACCAATGTAGATTTATCCGACGAAAGAAAGTGGAAACCACAGCTGCAAGAGTTGATGAAATTACCAGCGTTCGCCAGAGTTGTGTCAGCTGGAAACATGCTCAGCCATGTTGGTCATGTTATCTTGGGCATGAATACTGTTCAGTTGTATATGAAGGTACTAAACATCAGTTTGTACAGAATATGATATTCTCTTTCAAAGCTGCTTAAAAGTATTATTCACTAATGTCTATCTATCTCTACAGGTACCTGGTAGCAGAACACCTGGTCATCAAGAGAATAATAACTTTTGTTCCATTAATATCAACATTGGACCAGGTGACTGTGAATGGTTTGCGGTGCCTGACGCGTATTGGGGTGTAATTTGTTCTCTTTGTGAACGAAACAACATCAATTACCTTCATGGTAGTTGGTGGCCCTCTTTGGAGGACTTATATGAAGAAAATATTCCTGTATATAGGTTTTTACAGAGGCCAGGTGACCTCGTCTGGGTTAATGCGGGTAAGGAAATTGTATACGATTAATAGAGATGCTGAGTTTTAGTGTATGTTGCTACTTATGTCAATTTACAGCACTGTACTTGAACTAGGAAAATTTTATTTAAATGTACTGCTTTCTCAGGATGCGTCCATTGGGTTCAAGCTGTTGGTTGGTGTAATAACATTGCATGGAACGTTGGTCCTTTGACCGCGCGTCAATATCAACTGGCAATTGAACGATACGAATGGAACAAGCTACAATCGTTCAAATCCATAGTACCGATGGTACACCTATCCTGGAATCTAGCTCGGAATATTAAAGTGTCAGATCCCAGACTGTTTGAATTAATTAAAAATTGCCTGTTAAGGACAATGAGACAGTGCTGTTTAATATTAGAGTTTGTAAAAAGTAAGGGCGTCGAAGTTCGATTTCATGGGCGTGGAAAGAACGAAGCTTCGCATTATTGTGGACAGTGTGAGGTAAATAGTGCAGCTTTTATTAAACAAAAGTACTTCTTTTAAAATAGAATATTATTTGTAGGATTAAAACATACAATATAATATGAATGAATTTAATATTTTGTTTCAGATTGAAGTGTTTAATATCCTGTTCATAAGAGAACAAGAGAAACGTCATGTAGTACATTGTATGGATTGTGCACGAAAACAATCTCCATCACTAGAAGGGTTCGTTTGTCTAGAAGAATATAGAATGCGCGACTTAATGGACGTTTACGATGGATTTACATTGCATATGTCGTTAACTACTCCCTCATCCGCTCAGTCTAGCCAATCCTCCTGAGGTTACATGCAACACAGATATTTGGACTTTTTAGGCACTCTGCAGTGACTTTGATAGTACAATTTCTGTGTTTGTAAAGTATCCGTTTACGATAAGCATTAATTCAGGTACCTGAGAGCTACTACGAAAGATGACAAAAGTAAGTGGAAATTAGGAAATTTTATGCGTTGAAACTGTAACAATAAGTCAATCATATGTTTCCACTGTTAATTTTAAGGCAACAACATAATATGGTGGTATCATATTATAAGCAATTTGAAAGTTTTACTGTTCTAATAATTAGCACTATTTGTACAGATAATTACTAGACGATATTTGGGTACTTTTTAATCATTCATATGAAACAATGAATTGAATATGAAGATTGAAAGCATTTGATATAGCTCTCGGGTATTTAAAGTCGAAGCTATGAAAACGGGAGAAGACTGCGTTTTTCTTTTAATTACGCGATGTCATGTAATCCTTTGATAATATCGCCAGAAAAAGTCAAACTTGTCTAAAGTTTTGTAGCATTTTAAAGGACTACGGAACAAGCATTAACCATTTAAATTTATATCGTGAATAACAAACTTTTTTGTTAGTTGAATCGTGTGCATTGAGATTCTCAAATAAATAGATGAATTTAGTGCATAAAGAAACTATGAAAATGTTCACTGCCAGTTGTGAATATATTAAAGGATTACACTTATTAGTCCAAAGTGATGAGGGATAAGCTATCGTTAACTATTGTTATGGTTTAGAGTATAAATGTAAAATATTGCAAAGCTGCTCAAAACGTACTTGTACATTTTTGTATACAAACGGATCATAACAATTATTGGTTTTTATGAAATTTCTCAAGATATTAGCTCGATACGAATGTCCTACTGTCAGTTTAAAATCGTAAAGCAGTGATAATAATTTCATAGCAGTTATTGAAAACTGCTAAATTAATATATAATCGAGACTTATCTTATACTTTATCAAACATTAACAGAATGACTGGCACATCAGAGAGACGTTTGACGTAAGTTTCTAACTTTATAAATTTATAAATTTTCATAAGATCTCTCGCTCGTATTGAAGACCACGTCAAAAATTTTCTAAAATATATAACAGTTAAAGTGTTGAATAAAATTTTCTAAAAACGCATGGACAACCTTATGCAAACAGTATAGACATTCGTAGCAAATATCTTGCTTCGAATATAAATCAATTAATTGTGTCGTTGCGGCTCTAAGATATTTGTACAGTTAACGTATGATTTATAATAGCAATTTCATGGATATAACGACTTCCGTATTTAAAACGAAAGAACGATGTACCGCGATCTGGTTATAGAACGGCGTTTCTCAATTTATCATTTTGTGATTGTTTTCACAAACGAAACAACCGAGAAACGTGTCAATTTGTTAGGTATAATATTGGAAATCATGTGCGACATTTTTAAAATTTTTTATTTTTTTTTTCGTCACAATCACGAAACTATAAAACAAAAATATTTATTGATCATTAATCATGGATGACATTATTCCGATCAATTTGTAATTATGTTAAGAATTTCGTTGATTTATTTTCGATGAGAGAAGAAAAAATACGTATAGATTAATATTTTGTTTAAGCTAATTAATTTAATGTGATCGTAGAGCGTTTGAACAATTTTAAAAAATCTTCAGGCGGTGCATAAATTCCATCAAGATCATTTGAGACAAAATTGGGAAACGCTGATGTATAATGTGTAACTCATAGACACATACAGATAAACTGAGTGCTTTTATGATATGGACACTGAAAATTAGAAACAGTCAAACTTGATGATTTAGAAAGTGAAAGTCTTAAGTTTTTCAACTGTCAAAATTTCAGATGCAAAACTATAAATTTGAAATGATATACTTTACTTATTAAAAAGTGAGACTATTTCCTTCTACTTTTCTTGTATTAAACTCCTGTCACAAATCACTCAGTCTACCTGATATAAGTCTATGGTTTAACATCGAGTGATCATGTTTTAAAAGAAAAAGAAAACGTACCTTCAATTCAGTCTCGTCAATTCACATTGGCGTTTAGCAACGCCAAATGTACGTGCCAGAATGAACCTAACTAACCACAAGTGTATAAATAATTGCAATCTTGTTCCGCCGAAAAAAGAAAAGAAAAAACAAAAATGTATTTTCACAAACGCGTGAGAGAGAGGGAGAGAAAGAGAGAGAGTAAATGAGGGAAAGAAGAGAGCGGTAGATAGTACATACGAGTCGTAATAAAATCATCGGGAAACGATGTATTTTTGAAAATTCTAGAAAATGCTAGTTCCACCGAGTTAGTTAATGACGAACAACAGCCGCATTTCATTTTATACGCGCGACTAATTTCAACGTCGCGTCGTTCAATTGCAATATAATATATATAATATATATATTTCTACATATAATACCACAGTGGCCGTGTATAACGCTAGTTTCTGGACACGTAGCAGCTCCGACATCTTGTACTCTGTTCACGGATAATCATATTTCCCAAATGAGCTCTCGGTAACCATTCCAAGTGCATTCCTCAAATTTTAATTGGTTTTAGTTGATGGATCATATTGTTATGAATGTTCCTATGTTTTAAACGCAAGCAACCATAGTTTAAAACGATATTTAATATTAAAGTTTCGATAGGGTTTATAACCTTATTTTTGTATGTGAGTTCAAATCTCCATCATTTAATTTTATTTTGTTTTTCTTTAATTGTATAATGTATATGCTATATAGAAACAACAGATAGTAAGATTTATAATCGCATGATCTATCAATATAGAAGAATCCGTTTTCTGGGCAAAGATTTTTTTACGAGTTCACTCGGATGATTCGATCAGACGTGAAACAGAGTACATATATGGTCTTTCGACAACCATAACCGGTTCAGAAGCTAAGAGTATTTTAATCCATGCACTCAAATGATCTCAATGCATGTAATATTGGCAGCCGAAAGTGACGGTGAGCTCTGCCAATATTTCGAACTGACTTGACAACTTCGATTAATGATTAATAAATTGTGTATAAATATATATTTAATGTAAAGGATAAGATTAGGTAATGCGAAATGAATCGAAACAGACGGCTCAAGAGTTTCGATATAGTTGATATTGAACAAGCTAGAAGTGGTCCTTCGTGTACTACTAAATGGGCAATGTACAACTTCGAGAATACTAGTTTTAACTAAAGTTACTGCGATTATAGGAGACGTCAAGAACAATGATTTTGTTAAACATAATACAAAAATTTACGTCTAAAGTTTCTTCAGATCCAACATGAAATAAATTTACAAACTTAAGAATGTATAAATTTTCTAAGTTCCTACTTGCAAATTTTTTAATCCATGTCATTAGCAAAGTAAAAATGATACAATAATTTTACAAAATTATTACTTCTGGACCTCCTATAATTGTGCTGATTGTAACTTTGGACTAAATCGGTGCTCTGAAGATTATTCATTTCCTTTAGAAGCCTATGTTGCTGTGACCGATGATTAAACTGAGTTTAGTCAAACTCAGAATTAGAAAATTGATTTCCTTGATCATTTGCAATGCTGTGTACATTAATAGGGAAGTAGTTAACAAAATAATTTGACCAAACATTAATTTGAATTTAAACAGGAAAGTTTTCAACTGTTATTTTCATAGCAACATTGCAATGATCTAAGAACTGGATGTAGTTTTTCTAAATTACACCCATTTCATGGGAAGCTCACAAAAATAAGAATTAGTTATATATATGTTAAATTTTTATTAACGTGATATTGAAATTGCAACGTTTAGGATCACAGCATTGGCAATTTAAATTTGTTTGCGATTATTTTAATTATCTAAAGAAGTTTCAAGTTCTTCTGGTAGTATCATTGGTTGATTTAGTGAAAAATAATTTCTGACATTTTGATAAAAAAATTTATAAATAACCACTGAAAATCTTGACTGTCTTATCTATCATCAAATAATGAATTATTTCTTTAAAATCTTTGTTTTAATTTTCCTTTCAGCATATTTATATGAATATGCTGCAATTATGAAAATAATCTGGAAATCTGATACGTAGCTTTAAATGATTGGCAGTATTATTGTTAATAAAATTTTACCATGAAAATTATGGTATCTTAATCAAAAAAATAACATCACTATTTGAACGAAGAGCGATACTGTTAATAAAGGAATGGAGATTTTTTGAATAACTTGCAAACAAAACATTTGATTTTGAGTCAAAAGAAGAAAAATACACAAAGGATCATTAGATATGTTAAAATGTACTATTTGAAATAGTAAGACTGGTCAATGTAAACTTTCAAATACCATTTGCTTATTAAGTTACATTTGGTATTTCAAAAGTACACGTTTGCCAGTTGATGTGTCTAGCGTAATACTTTACAGCTTTCCTTTTTTTTAAATTGCGTATCCCTGTAATTAAAAATGAATTGTGAATTTTAGTTTAATTAGAGGAAACCAGAGAGAACTTGACTAGAGGGAACTCAATCGATAGATGTATTAAATTATCGTTTAAAAAAAATGTAAATAACATTTGGTTTCTTTCTGAAAGCGGGAGTAAAAATAACAGGAGCGAAAAATTGTATAATATATGCGTCCTGTAATAATCACTCAAGTTTATCCTGCACGTACAGATCTTTGTATTTTCATACGGAGAACAATGTTGATTTTTAAAGGTTATGCAATTTAGCATTGCACACAAACACTAGAGAATTACCACAGAGGAGATTGAGACCCCCTAGAGACTTCTTCTTAAAAACCTCTTGAGCTTCGCAAATAAAAAAAAAAGCACACGTAAAATCATATTTTCACTAAAAACAATGTACGAGGAGTTTAAGTTCAATACCTACAGAGTGGGTTAATCTAACAGATATTAAAAGAAGAAAAAGATTTATTTTTTCTGAACAACTGACTGTAGCGAAGAGGGAAAAGTAATATTTTCGAATTTGTCATGTAAATGTATCATGAACTGTAGCAAGTTGTAGCGAAGAAAAAGAAAAATAAGAGGAGGAAGAAGAAGAAGATTCGTATAGCTTAAAACTTGTAAAACTGTGTGTATTTTAAACGTGAGAACGTTCACTGCCAAATTGTGATAAACAGATCCCACCTTTAACCGGAGCGTTTTCTTAACTTCTGATCGCATTGACCAATTATTTCCTCCTAAATAGTTACCGTGAGTTCTGCACATTCTGATATAATAATATATATATATATATATATATATATGATAGTCATCTATATTTTTCCTTAACGTTTAAGACTATATAGCGTCGAAGAAAATATAGCGTTGACCAATGCAGCTAGAATCGAAGGAAACCGCTCCCTATTTTAAGCGTGTAGCATTGTAATAATAAAAAAAAAAGGAAGAAAGGAAAGATCACATTGATATTTTTAAACGGGCACGTTTTACTATTTAAAAAGGTAACATCTGGACCGCCTATAGCGCTTTTCTATAATATTGTATGTTTACGTGTACAGTGCCTTTATACCTTAAAAAGAGAGGAAAGGAAAAAATGAATGGAATAAAGAAAAAAAAAGATCTTTTAAAGAGACACCTTCGCTTTCGAGAAATCAATGTGTGTATGTTATTATATAATAGTAGTTCTGTATATTGTAGAGTATGGCATTTCTGTCACGAAATAAATGTTTTTATTTTTTTGTTTAATCCGACATGTTAATTTCTCGAAAGAACAAGGCTTGCGGTCCCTCCTTACGTGTCGTAACATTCTAATTAGGTTCAGATTGTAATGATTACCTAATTATATTATATGTAATTAGATTATTATTACGAAGTATGTTGTAAAAGTGTACAGTTGGATCGGGTGATCTCTTTAAGCGGGAGATCATGCTGTAGCTAGCCTTATTATTATCATTATTACAACTATTATTATCATGGATTATTATTACGGTTAATTACAATATATTTGTGTTTACCATAACAATGTAATATACAGTTACACAGAGCTCAACTGTGCTGTACATTATGATTATCAACATGAACGCTGCTGCCCTACAATTATTATTAAATTGACTTTTCCCAAAATTGTTTCGCCATTCCATGATTTATCCCTATAATGGTATTTGTATACCGAGTTAGAAATTTTATTTTTACATTTTAAATGATTCTTGCAAATTACTTAAATTTTGTATCGTTTATTTATTAATCTATGATTTAGGTGAATACTTTTCTTGCCGTACCTTTTTGTACATAATTTTGGATTTACAGCTTGTCAAATTAGTATTTATAGTTACTTCATATGTAAGATTAATATGTACAGAAATCGGATTTGAATTATGCTAAATAGAAAATTGCAAGTGTTATTTAATTTCAAAGTGGATATGTAAATAAAAGCGTTGATAATTTGATACTGAAGTCATTTTCAAACATAAATAAATTATTTTATTTACACGTATAACTTTTAAAACAAATCCAATGGCTTAATGATCAGTCACTTTTTTTTAAATCATACTCAAATGGAGTATAAAATTATAATGAAGTGTTACAAATATTTTGTTCAGAAACCAGATATAAATTGCATGCAAGATTTCAAATGGTCCCAATCTGTGTCATTAAATTTGCCTTAAAAGCGTCAAATAAATAAAAATAAATAAAAAATATAATCTAATAAATACAAAAATAAAAAAAGATATAAATAAAAATGATTCGAATATTTAACAATAATGCTGTCATTTAAATGTAACTAGTATTATTCAGGTGATCTGTTTAGGTATTATACCCTGTATATGGAATACCAATCCAAGGTGAACCGTGTACATAACTAGGCACCCAAAAATTGGCAAAAAGAATTGATATAAATAAAATACTTATGTCCTTCTAAGAGCTCTCATTTGTTTACGACGTGCTTGAACAACACCATACACAACTGCTGCAAGGCTCCTGCATCTTGTGGTGTGTTTAGTTGTGCCTTCTTGTTGCATGGACCCTTTGCCTAGTACGAAATAAGTTTCCATGGTCCCCTTTCCTTTCACTTCGATGAGTCCTCTTTTCTGTGTCTGATATCCTCTTCCCTCCAGAAACTATTTTAGCCAATATTATGAATTAAAGATGCAATTAAGAGTTTTATATATATGACTCTAACTAGAGGTGCAGAGCACACTTACCCTAGCAATGTCTTGTGGAACTTGTATTTTCCCCATGACCCCTGTGGAGTCCATACGAGAAGCCAGGTTCACCGTATTACCCCAAATGTCGAACACAGGCTTCCTGGCACCAATTACACCACCTACCAATGGACCACAGCTAATACCTACTCTTAAATCGAAATTATTAAACGAGTGAATGTTCACGTCTTCGAGACGAAGTCGCATGGCTACCGCATAATCGACCAATCTACACAGATGTTCCATATCATCTTTAGTTTTGTCCTAGAAGAAGAAAATTGATTAACATAAGTTACTTCAAAATTTGATTTACATTTACAATAAAAATTACATTTTGACATGGGTTAAGTCCAGAGGCTGCCATGTAAGTTGCACCGACAGTCTTTATCTTCTCAATACAATGAAATCGGTTTTCGTCTAGGAGCTCGTCGAAATCAGCTAGAAAGAAGATAATTTTATAAACTTTGTACTGAAGATCTTAGTTACAAGAACCACTTCATTCTATGAATGAATCCATTTCTATAAATTCTGGAAAATATATCTTTACATGCAGAAGTAAGGAAACAAATGTTTGATATCAATTTCCTTACATTTGTATACATAATTACAGTGAGTAAGAGGAAAAGCAATTCACTGTAAGAATGTAACTTTAAACCACATTTCTTACCAATGATCTCATTTAATAAACGAATACACTCCATTCCTTTGTTAACATCTTCTGAATAAAATTCTGTGAAATTTGGTACACTGGCGAACATCACGCCAACTTTGTCACGCGATTGCGAATACAATTCCTGTGAAACGAAAATACATACAGTAATGTTTAAAAGAAAAGAACACAAAACGATGTTACCTCTGGTGCTCGTTCCTGCGTTAAAAAATGATGAGCCACGTGATCCGGCAAAATATTTTTCAAAAGCTGCATATTGTTATGCCGAGATTCGATCATATCGCTCAGCTCCCGTTCAGCTTGCTGTTTCCACAGAAAATCCAATCTGGACGTCACTTCTACCAATCTGCCATGGTACGTGACCATCACCAGGAACACTAACAGAAATGTCAACATTTGTGCAGATAGAGGTATTGATGGCCTAAAAATTCACGGTACAAATAGCAAATTATTTCATCGTTAAAATTAATTAACCACAGACATGAGTTAAAAGAACAACAACACAGAAAAATAGTTATATATGTAGGCATCACTTGCTCATGTCTGCGTTTAACGAATCGAAATAGTCTTCATGCACAAACGTAGAATACGACTCACGAATCCTTCTCTTTGTCGGGAATGGTAAAGAAGTCTTTACAGACTACCAGGATCAGCACAGCATAAACAGTCACGATAATCGTGGCCAGCGCAGTTTTCACTAAATAGTATAACTTCAGAGCCGAGGCTAACGCGATCAGACATAAAATCCACGTGAACACTATGTACTCTGGCTGTACACAAGTTGTCTCCAAGACAACTTCATCGTAATCCATTGTATAGATAGGTTCTGCTTGAGGTCCCGTTTCCGGTGTGGACAGTATTTTCCTCGATACAACGTCTTCACCCCTACGATTACGAGCAAATTTTTGATAATGTCTTTTAGACTCGAGTCTATGACGTTGCTCGTATCTATAAAACCTGAAAAATTCTTTTCTTCTTTGACCTTTCGCCAGACCAGCCCTGCCATCGAGAATCCTCGTCAGCTCCATCTCTACGCTGTTAAAGCTTCGCGGTACAGTTTCGTTTTCCTTAGCAGAGATCTTCTCTCGTTCTTCGAGGGACTCGTCGCGAAGAGCCGCCTCTAGAAACGTCAGAATAAATTGGTCGAGGCCGACTGTCGTCGCTACCAATCGTTCGGGTTGCAAGGTTGGGGTCTCCAGCTGTTGTCTGATAGCCAGAGCTTCTGGGTATCGTCGAATCGACGTTGGACAGGCTAAAATGCCGACGATTGACGTCAAAGCCATTAAACTGATCACGCTACATATGAAGATTGTTCGGTGCTGCTTGTTGTGCACCAACATGGAGGAGGCATGCTGCAAATACGCTGGCAGGCTTTTAAACTCCTCAGCCATCACCAGGATGGACGATGCTATCAGAATGAGTGTAGTCAGCAACAGGCAGACTAGAAGAATGACGCAACTGTGGAACAGTAAGATTGTTAAACGAGAGTCTCTGTAGTTATCCAAATCTCAAAAGTTACATTTTTATCTCCTACACCTCCTCATTATACATTATACTCATGTGTACAGGCTGTCTCTTAAAAAATATGTTACTTACTCTGGTAATATTACAGCTTGGCAGATGGCAATAAATATCCACACAACGAAGCAACAAATCATGTTTGATTTAAACATATCCTCGCGTAACTGACCAAACTGCGTGTACAAAACATAAGTAAGTCCCCAATCATCGTACAAAATTGATTAAAATAAAAAAATCATTAACGTGTTAATATTAACCTGACCTTTAATTCGAGACTTTCATCATTATAACGCAAAGTCCAAGCGTTTATGTTCGCCGATCTCATACGCTTATTGCTCGCAGTTTCAAGACCTGCAGCCTTCTCCGCGTTTGCAGCTTTAACCTTAGCAGAACCATTCTCTTCTTCCAGGTACTCTGATTCCAAATTACTGACCGATGTCGCGGTATTCAACTATGCAAACAATAAAATGAACAATATGATACAATATGAAATTTTTTGACATTTTAAAGTCTTTAAAATACGTACGTTTTCGAACGGTATCTCCGGTGTCCAATCAACTCCTATGTCGTCTTCTGTCGAACAATTTGGAGCACTGCTGTTCGCAGACAATGGATTGTTCAGTTTGAAGCTCTTTTTACCTTTATTTGCATCGTCCTCGGACCATATCTTAGGACGAGCAGAGTACCTCCGCCTAGATCTTTGAGGTTCTACTTGTTTAATTAAATACGTCACCACGTTTCTCTCTTTTAAGTAATTATCTCTTTCAGTCCCGTTTCCTGGCTCCACTTCATACACGTCGTTCAAGCAGTTTAGGGTGTCCTCTGAAATGTGCACCCTCCTGAAATATCAGCACCTTTCTTTAACATTCTTTTCAAATCTCTTGAGGATTGTAAGATTTATAGAAATTACACAAATCTATTAACTGCTTATAAAGTAAAATCTATTAAACTTTACCCTGGTATGCCTCCACTTTCGAGATGGTTGGCCAACGTTACATCATAAGACCAGACATCAAACTGCCACTTTCGAAGTCCTAACACACCACACAGCACTGAACCACTGTGTATCCCTATTCTCATATTTAAGTCGACCTGAAAGTTAATGAATTAATTTTCTAGACAAATGTACAGTTTTTATGTGTACAGGAGTCTGAAAGTAGATTCAGATAGTTTTCTCTTTTGACGTTGTAATCCAAAGCCTATTACACCTACACAAGTCTCAACTTTACAATAAAATGTCCTTTTACCTTCGTCGTATATCGCACATCTCTTATCGCTTTAATCATGTGCAAACCCATTTCGACGCAGCAATGAGCATGATCGCTCCTGGCAGTCGGTAATCCGGAAACACAGTAGTAACAATCTCCGAGCAACTTGATACGCAGACAATGATTTTCTGCGGAGAGCTTGTCGAAACGTGCAAACAAATCGTTTAATACCTTGACGAGTTCCTGGGCGCTACACTGGCTGGCCAAAGCTTAATCATAAAAACAAAAAGCATATATTCTATCAATAATTTATTTATGATTTTATAGGAAATTTTAGAACAATTTCTGTTACGATTGCCTAATTATAAAAGAAGTTTCAGTAGGGCGCAATATTTTGGTTCGTACCGGTGAAGCCTTTGATGTCAGCGAAAAGTATGCTAACATTTTCATAGCGATGGATGTATATTCTGTGAAATTGATTAGGGGTAAAGGAGATGGTTCCACCTCGGGCAGTTTCACGGGCTATATCACGGATCATTTCCTTAGCCACGAAATCCGGTAAAACTGAAACAAAATCACGTATTAAAAAGCGGAATTATTTCAATCTAATGAAAACTATCCTTCTCTTGGAAGATTTTTAAATAGTGGTTAAAGAGTCGTGTTTGGTTTCTCTTTTTTCATTTTGCTTTGTGCCATTGTATTTTACTTGTTCTTCCTAAACAAATCATCGTTGGAAGATCGATAATACGTAAAAGCAAAGCACAGCTAGAGGCTATCGGTAAAACATATCTGGCGCAATCGAGTGAAAGTGTCTAGTGACCCTTTTCGACACTCGGCTGAGCAAGTTACACGCGCTAACGAACCACGTACTTGCGGTACAACCCCCATGCGTCTTTATATACTACGTGTTCGACACACGTATAAATATACTTAAATACGTATCGAACGTACGTACATCGATACGTAATTACACATGTATATTTATGGCTGTCATTAATTGGCTGATCGTTGGGTTGATTGTATGAACATCCGTGGGACGTGCTTATTTTACACCCGTTTTCCCAACACACCACGGTTTCACCTCTCTATGATATAATAATTCGAAATAGCTAGAAAAGCAATGTTAAACGTTGCTAAAATTTCATGAAATCTACCTTCTATTTATTTCACCAGTATTTTTATTAATCAAGTATTTTGTAAAATAAATGATCAGTGTAATATTTTAGTTCAAACAACTTTCGATATTAAATCACATTTTGTTGATTTATTTTTGGTAGATATAATTTGTGTTTGGCAAATATAACTGTGCTTTTACTAATACAAATATTTTAACTCAAGTTTGTATCTTTAGTATAATATATCCAACTGACCATTTCTACAAAGTACTGACTAAAATATTTTAAGTCTAAGTGAACAAACAAGTTAATCCCTTTAAAGTTCAAAAGACCTCTCGTTTTTTAAATGGAGAACGCTAACAAGACAAATTGTTAGTGTTCCTCACCAGAAAGAAGCAGCTTCTCCTGTCGATTATTTTCATTTTGAGTTCGTTGCCTGGTTTCCATAGATCTGTGCGTTTCCAAGAATGCCTGTCTCTGTCCTCTGTCCGTCAAATATTTGGTATACATGCCTGCCAGATTCATTGCAAGATAAAGCAAAACGTTGGTCGTCAGCATTCGAACTATACACGTGACGTCGTGCAGCTGCAATTTAAAAATTAAATATATATTAACTGGTAACAATGATATGTACATTGTGAAACATTAATGAATGATGTCTGAATCCCCAACCCTTACACTGAAAGAATCTTAGATCTCCATATTAACATTTAAAGATTTCTAGATCATTAAATGCTCAGATTTCTAGATTTTCAGATAACTAAATCCTCAAACTTATACACTTTACTATTTCTAAACCTGCAAATCCGTAGGTCTACTTATCCTTAAGTCTGTATATATATTACTTGTATATTGTCAAATCCCTACAGCTCCATAAAAGCGAACAATTCCTAAGAAAATAGGACAGTTATCCGCACATGGCTGTGCACATGTTAACAAGGTCTATGGGCTCGTTTTTACCCTCTAAAAACGCCCCTTGCAAAGTACGAGATTCCGTTATATATTTCGTGCCAGGTGTGAAGCAGAACGGCGTACGATTCTTACATAGGTAGGATCCCGCAATAAAGTAATTCCAGCCATCACCATGTGGGTCAAAGCTGTCCCGTAACCGGCGAGGACGCACCATCTCAAAGGTAACGGCAGCATGGCGTACGGTGCATACACGACAAACAATATGTACCACATAAGACGTTGTTGATTGGAGAAATCCAAACCGGCCCCTATAAAACCTGCAATAGACATTTTTTTTGTCGATGCTTGTACCATTGTTAATGTTAAATAATAAACACAGGATCGCCGATCGATAGTAACCCATGCCTGGTATGTATGTATAAGTTTGTTCTACGGTTCGCTGAACATTCAAGCAATTCGCTGGACCGCCAACGCACGAGCCAATGGAGCAAAACTCTATTCGGTAAACGAAGATACAATCTTACCAAGAACATGTGTGTACATCTATCTATGGTTACATGTATAATATACGTATGATACAGGATTAAAAACACAAAGGGAGCTTACGAGATAGGCAATACTCACTAAACTGTGTAAAAGATAAACTTGCAAAGAATCACAAGCAGTTGGTCAAAGATGAGTTAGGTTCATATTATTTACTAGTATTAATTATAATACCGTTCAATGATTACACAGTTTAACCCTTCTAAGGGTGATAATCACCCACCATCAGGGGTCTCTGATCGCTTCTATATAAAAACGTAAATAAAGGAAAGAAAGCAATGCATAGCGTAAACAGCGTACGTTGCCGCAGCAAAAATGGTCATTCAATTACGTATATGAACTTATTTTAGTCAGAGAATTACATACACATGCAAAGTTCTTAATCCTACAAGCATACACAACATTCAACCATACGGTCAGAAACAAAAAATGGCACAAGTTAATTGTTGGTGGTACATATCTTTTATGAACAACGATACTGTGCTATTTTGTCTAAAACTGTAGAATGCAAGCCTCGAAATAAATTTCCTGTATCTCTAAAAATCTTGTAGCGTAGATCTAGTGAGTATTACCCACCCTATCCTTTTCTTTCAAATAACCCTATCAAAGTGCACTGGACTTTCTATCCAGTTCCATAATTGAAAGGACGGTTTTCCGAATCGTTACCTTGCGAGTTGATCAGTAACCAAGTAAATATGGAAGCCCAGTATAAATAATTATTGGAGAAACACCGCCACCAGCCAAGAATGCAAACCACCATGTTCGCAGCCATGCAGCAGATTGCCCAGGACAAGGACTCGATTAAGCCGCTGCTGTTCTCGTCCCTCTTCCATAGCCATATCACCATAAGAATAATCTGATGTATGAAATAAAACGAAAAAGAACAACATGCAGCAGGTGTCGAGGAATCACAGTTGGAAAGGATAACTAAAAAGGAGATCGGTTTTACCTTTAGGCTGAGGTCGACGATATTGAGCATGAGCAACGATTTCTGCCGCTGACGATTCGAGTAGTGCAGATAGGATGTTTCCAGTTGTTTGCTGTGGAAGCTGTTCGACAACGACGGACAAAATATTCCCTTATAGAGTACTCCTTTCTTGAAAACATCTGAAAATATCCAGTGGTATTTATAGCCGAAGGCTATACGTACAGAATAAATTAATAACACGCGCCACCAACGACTCGTTGAATAATTTGCTTGCGACACGAGGGCAATTATTGAAAACAGCCAACTGCGAGTACAATGAAACTTCGTTTGTTAACCGGTGCAGCTTGACCCTTCGTGCTTTCCTTCGGGGTTATTCGATCGACCGCCATTTTGTCGAATTTGTACAAAGTATTTGGACATTTAGGATAGATTCATCCTTCGTTCTATTAGATATGTAATTCTAATTCAGAGAATCCCTTGTCAATTTTTTACCCTTATGACAAGTTTTCTAAATAATTCTACTATTCTACTGTAATACTACATAGACTACTCTACCATCTTACTATCTTGCTACAATACTACCACTCTACTACTTTACTATTCTACTACTATCATTCTAATGTAATACTATCCTAATATAATACTATTCTAATATAATACTATCTTCTATTGTACTATTCCACTAATTCTACTGTACCCAACATGTGCATAAACCTATAGAGGTAAACGTAGGCCTTCCCTAAGTCAGGTTCCTCTAAATGAAATAATGCATATACCTCAACACGTGGCAAGTAATCCGAGTTAAAGAAATCTTGTACCATAATTTCAACGAAATTGTTGCCATATGGTTCTCGGATTATAGAGGTTCAATTGTACTCATTTAATTAGCCTTCAGCCTGTGCGCCCATAAAAAGAAACCTGGCGGTTATTTCTTGACCGGTGCTCGACTATAAATCTATACAACTTTTATAATCTTCAAACATCTGACAAATTTCAGGTAAATTCTAAAACGTAAAAATTTACATCAGGTATACTTATGTTTCATTCTGTACCCCAAAAAATAATCTTCATAATTTTATGCATAAAATGAATTCTCTACTTTTCTCAACCTTTAATAATTTCGAATTAACGTTCTTAATTTGATGTTCTAGAAATGATACTGATACTTAGAACCTTCAGAAAATTTTTAAATCAATAATTTCCTGTTATCAGAACCGCTCAGTTACAATTTGGTTCGCTGGTTTGGAACGAAGTTTTGTTGCATGAAATTGGAGGAGTCAGACCTCGTTGAGTTTGAGATTCAGCATCAACTGGTTGTTCGGGAAGAACCACTTCCGGGTCCGCTGGAATTTCTGCATCCTCGGTTGGCTCGATCGCTTCTTCAACGTCTGGAACTTCCGTGTCGTTGTTGGAATTCCGGTCCTGCCATGCCGCCAATCCTTCCCTTCCTAGCCTCTCGGAAGTCAGCTTCTTCACTGCCTTGATCCATAATTGTTTCCTCGGGGAAATACTCAACCTATCGATATTAAAAGATTCTCATCAAGTGTCTGTTAAGAAGAAGTTTCGTTGACGAGGAACATTTAGAACATCTAGGATATTCAGATACGAATACACATCGGACGTGTAGGTTTCAAGTTTTGTTCAAAATAATCAGGGACTCTAAACAATTTCCTTTTAATATACTAGTTAAAATATTATATGACTGGTCATTTCTGAGAAGATTGTTTGACTTCAAGAAGAATTTAAATATTTGACGTCTTGTAAAAGCAACATTATATTAACTACCTTTACAAATTCCAAACATGAATATTCTGAATAGCAAGTTTCGGTTAACAACTTGAATAATATTCAATATTCACGAATAATAAAGTTAACATTTTGTCAATATACAAGTCAATTTGTATAAGATATAAATAGTAAGATAAATTGTTAACATAGCAAACTCTGATAGAATATTCGTTAATTTTTTAAATCTCTAACGCGTTCAAATTTATTGAATAGTTGAGCCGTTTCACTGGACGAGCCCCTAATTATTTTGAACGGTGTATAAATAACGTAGTTGCAAAACATTTATACAGGTCACGATAAGTAGGTAAACAACTTTTTTATCAGAAAGTTTCCAATGTGATCGTCAATTTTATATGAATAACAAGAACGATTCGTTTTTTTACCGCATGAATTATTTTCGTGTAAATGATTTTTTGTTTATGTTAATTGTATTTAACATTTCACGAAATACGATAAGTTCCATGAAGATAACAAGACATGTTCTTTTACAACATACAACATTAAATTATTTACATCGATAATGTGACTTTAACAGTCGTTTCAATAATTAAATTTTACGAGCAATTCTTTGCGCTTTATCCGTGCAACAATTTAACGATATAGGAGCAAAATAAATATTCTCTCAATATAAATTATTAATTAAATATTAGTTTACGATTCTAATTTCAATAGTTGGACAAATAATAGCGTGTATACACTTAAAGCGGACATACTGTATAAACGATACATTATAATTAGTGCATACATATTTTTAAATACGCGACAGTATTGATCCAAACGCAGCTTTTTAATAGACAAAAAGATTGTCTCTCATGATAAGAAGATACACCATCAAAAACACGAAATCTTCACGATACAACGCTAACATGAAACTTACCGAACAGTGTTATTGTGTTAATGTTGTGTCGCATTAAACAAAGAAATAATTGAGTCTTTTTCGTACTCATGTAGAATGCACTTATGCAGAGTGTTGCTAAATTAGGAGCTAATAAAATTGAGCGAAGCAAAAGTCTTAGACGAGATATTCTATTCTTTAAACTATAAATCATTCTATATTTAAATTTATAGATTAAGCTATCTATATTTAATATATAGTTTGTTCAGTCATTTCAGAGGAAATTGTCTAAACTCGTTTATCTGGTATTGCACGATCGCAACGTAGTCTTCCTTCAAATTTACAAATTCGATCTAATGATCTACCTTCCTATTGCCATTTTCTTCACGCAAACTTATCGTGCACGATAAAAAAAGTTTAAAATATAATGCGCTAACGACGGTTTTCCCTAGGAGATCCAATAGTGACAATGTGCTATTAAATCATAAAACATTCCAATATCATCTGGTAGGTAAGGTGTTAAGACTTCTTCGCTTCGTTCAATAGTGTTTCTAAGACCTGTAAATTCAGCAATACTCTGTACATAACGTTTCGTGTGAAAAAATGAAGAATAAGGGAGAAGATTAATGTTAAATACTTACTCATTGATGCCCGTGACATCACTGTCCAGCATCATGCTCCAGGTCTGTTCTGTAATCATTATCCCCCGGATGATCCGCGAAACGAACAACCGCTCACGTTGTGATTGTCAGCTGTGCAATTGCCTTAGTATCCGGCATTTTCACACACCTTAAACCAGAACTTGTTAAGAATGGAAGCCAATTTCTCGAATGACCCGCCCGGCGTGGTACAAAGAAGAAGAAGAAGTAGAAGAATTTTAGCGAACATTTTTTTTTACTTGCGTCACTTTTAACTGATCAAAACATCGAAACAGAATAGCAGAGCGTTGTTCCTTCGTGAATTCGAATTAGCCAACGGATTTCCGGCAGGAGAGCCAGACGCGGAGGATCCCGAGTATTCGCGACACTCTTCAATGACATTATTTGAAATTTCATTTCCTGTTTTACTTTTGTTTCCTTTGCTTTGTTTTCTTTTTATTTGCTGGTTTATTTTCTTGCTTTCGAGAATTATTCGACTGCCACTAAAGTAGAAAGGGGTGATAGCGATCACTAGCGGCACTAATAAAATTAAAATAATAGAGACTCTCGTTATATTGCTAGATTCTCTTCTTTCAAAATGTAACGGTCGTTTGTAAATGCGCGGTAGTGGGGGTAACAATAGTGCGCACGCGCCAAGATGGCGGAAAAAAGTGATTAGTGTAAGAATATACAACGGTAGGGGAACGCTACTGTGTATGAAAATTCGTATGAAGGTAGCGATATAGCAAGAGTCTACTGTATGCAGCCGTTACAATGGGATAAATCTCAATATTTTCGATAGTATTGGACATTGCATTAGATTAACCACACTAACGTAATTACATAGAACTTGGGGCCCTCATTATGTTAGCTGGTCTGCTCTATCAAAAATTATTAGAATACGTACAGTATCACACATAATTTTCAAAGAAAAAATTGTAATATACCTCATTAAAATTTTCAGACTTGTATCTCTGACTTTGTAAACGAAGAAACGAAATAATAAATATACACGTGTCTTTTTTAAGTGCGCATCACTTCCATGGATGCAATAAAAATTGTTGCGAGATGTAACAGTTGCATGTCCCAAGTATATCATTTTGCAATAATAATGGTGACCGCCACTATCCCATGATCGCCATTACCCCCATTTTCCCTAAACTATTCTAGATAACAATTAACAATTGTTCCCTCTCTTCTCATTCACAGATGTACGATGAATTAATAATTAGTTCCTTTTGTTTGCACACTTTATATTTATTCCTCTTCACTAACCCATTAATTCTCGAGACATCAATAATCATAAAGGAAAGTACATTTAAATAGATAAATTACATAATTAACATATTTATTACCACTCATTGATATGCCATTATAGTGAACATATTAATTTTTTGTTTCCATAACTTTTCAATTTTGTAAAAAAATATACTTTAACTCGCAAGTAAATGTGAAAAATGTAGCTGGAAAAGTCTAGAAATATTGTTGATAATTTCAGTAATAATAAAATATATAGTTCATTTATGTTTGACGTATCATTAATACGTAGTGAATTACTTTATGTAGTATATTTGCTATAGAATACAATAATGGACTACGGAAAATAAATATTTACTTACAATTCTAAACAGATAGTAAAAATGAGAGGAAAAGTTCTATCATAAATTGTACGTCAAAATGTAGCATATATTTGATTTGGGTATTAATCGGTTAAAGAAGTATGCGAACGGAACATAACCGTGATTTGCAAGGTATAAATCGACAACTGGATTATAAGCATGATTTATACCAAACGGTTAAGATGCGTCCCCCTCGGTACTCTTCTCGTCATGATACCAAAAATACGATCTTGACTTTTTATTCATCGCTATGTGCTTTTGCACTTAAACGTAAATAGACGAACACTAGAAAACGTGTTTAACAAATATACCGTATTCGTTGAGCCAAAATAAATTCTTCGGTATCGAAGATAAATTTGAAAATACCCGTTTTAATTAACAGTGATGAAGTACGATTAAATCGCGAATAAAAAGATTCATGAATACCAATGGGGCTCGCGTTAAATGTGACTAAGAAGAGAGAACGCTAAAATATGAAACTTTGAATAATCAAAAACCGCTAAATTTTGTATTTTGCGTTACCTGTCGATTCCCGTCTACAGTTGGCAAGAATAAACGAACGATTCCGTGCGGTTGCCTCGTTTCAGCATCAAGATTGCCATCCACGAACGGAAATGACGACACACGACGAAAATCGCGAAGTGGCATCCGCCAACGATAAAAACCGCGCTCTCCTCCGAGTAAAATCGGTTATCGAGTCGGTACCTGATCTTCAAACGAGTGAGTATAACGCGTACTTGTCACCGCACGATGGCTCTCTTGACGTCAGACACCTTGCTCCATCCCCTCTTGGATGCAATGAAAAAGAAGGGATGATCGAGAAAACATAGCAAGTAATTGCAAATATAATGTATGTCTAATTGCTTTCGAAGCGTAGACAAAGTTAAAAGTCGATTTAGACATCGATAGGTCGAGCTTTAGAATGACCTATCGAACCACCGGTAGATGTCTTTTTATTATTCGCGATCGTACCATGATTGAAGACGATTTTTGGTCGAACCCAATTCTCTCTTATACTACTGTAACTAACAATGGTTCTATTGAATCGTTGCAAATGTTTTTTGTTCGAATGAAATAATGTTAAGTCTTGTCCTTTTCAATATGTACTTCTTACTAATACAAGGGAATGGTTCTCATGGAATGAAGTTAAGACATGTTCATATAAACATTAGCATTTATTGGCACCTTTTATCAAGTTATCAATATCTAGTGATATCATAGACTAATCAAAATACTGAAAAAACAACTGATCGCTTAAAATAAATTCATAGTGTGGATACTTTATATTATTAAAATCATTTCTGTCTGCCTTAGATTTGCTAAAAACAACTAAAACGCATACAACATATTATCTTTAAACGGTAATAAAAGACATTACAGTGGGAAGAAAATCAATATCAATTAACAAAATTGTCTATCACATACCAAATAAAAAAAGTAGTATACTATCATACATTATCTTAATAACTAAAAAAAAAATTACGAATAGGAAACAAATAATGATAAAGAATAGCGGCATATTATAAGTAGAAAAAACGGAATGCTGTTAATTTTCGTCGAGCTATTTCTATAGTCTCAAACGCCACAGCCAGCTTCTATGCAACTATGCTGTTCTTTAACATATGACAAAAATAAAATTATTAAATAATAAAAAATAAAGTATACAAACAAAAATATATGAAAATCGTGTATGCGATTACTCTATAATATCATAATCAATTGTCCTAAGAGATATAAATGTACACATAACGTATATATTTATATTTCTTAGAAAATTAAAGTAATAAATAATTATTTGCAAAAGAATAAAAAAATAACATTTCAAGAATATAATTATAGATATAAATAACATATATGTATGTATACGCATATTTATCTTTCCGTTATTTTTATAACATATATTTCTATTCTGATATAGTTATCGATATCTTATACGTATTGCTAAATAGAAAGGTTATTGTTACTGCAGTTAGTGTTATATACAAACAGCTATGTCTTGGAGCATAAAACTATAAAACTGTATAAAGGTTTTTAGCACGTATTTTGGGAAATAGTTATTTATACGTACATAAATTTTTTAACGAACTTCAAAAATTAAATTACTTATTAGTTTTGCTACGCGTTAACCTTGTATATGTTATTAATTATCAAGTATATTTAGGTATATCTATACACATTATGGACATATTTAATCAACGAATACGGCTCGGCCCTCGTTTACTAAAAGCTGATCAATGTAAATATCTTCGGTTGTATTCACGTCTATTAATTTTAAACCCAATACGGTGTCCGCTGGAAAAAGTCCATCAGGTTTAGACTCAATGACTACCGACACGAAATTTTTTTCCACGACTAATTCCTGAAACCTTAAGCTGTCTTCAACAGACCAGTCAACATCGACAGGTCGTATACCTATGAAGTAATATTTTAGTACACTTTGAAATAAAATCAAATGTAAAAGGTGACAGGCAATTACAAACCAGCGAGTCTTGCTTTGATGGCTTGATATGGTAGTTCTAAAAATTGACTTTTCAATGGTTGCAACATGTTTAACGGTAGTACCGACACGTCTCCAAAATCGCAAAAGTAAACGCTAACCATATTTTGTTTAATTACACTTGAAATGCACACCCTTGAAAATAAATGAAAATATGTACAAATTGCTTGAGCTTCAATATAATTTTGATTTAACATAGAAACTACTTTTATCTATACCTGTACCACTGGCCATCGCTATGTCTGGCTGCATAAAGTTTGCCTTCTCTTACTGATTCAATAGATGGAGCAGGACCTTTGTATTCTGTACATGCTTGTTGTAATTGTATCATCATCGCCTAAAAATAAATAAGTTTATCAATTCTGTCATTACTTTGATAAATTTAAAAAATAAAATACTTACTTCTAAGGCACGTTTATCCTCGAATGGTTGAATAGTGAAATTTCCGGGATGAGCTGCCATTGTCACGTGTATATCAAAATATTCGCCAATATCCGAAATTTTGGGAGGTTTCAGAGCTTTTACGATTTCATCGTCTTCATTTATCGAGTGTTTAGAATTTAAACGTTCTATACGTTTTCTTGGCCTTATATTATTGTTTCCATCACCATGTGTTCTAAAATAATAATAATAATAATTATCATTTGATACTTTAGTGTTATTAATAATGTATAGTTCTTTTCAAATATTATACTTTGCAAGTTCTTCAAGAGCTAATGTGTTGTTGATAGAGACAAGCATATTACTCGGTTGAATCCGTTTAAATAACTCTACAACTGGTATATTGTCTTCAAACGATACCACTTTCACGAGATATGGTTCGCCTCTAGGAGCAAGTTCTTTAAGTTTTGCAATCATCTTTTCATTAATCATTGATTTATCAATGTTATGAAGATGTACCTTTAATGCCTATTATACAAACAAACGATGATTATTATAAGTGATATAGTAAAATTTTTATCAAGAAATTATAGATCGTATTTTTACCTGTGGAGGATATTTTGCTAAAACTTCAGATAATTTTTCTAAAGAAAGAAGATTGCTCTTCGTAGTGGTAATAGTTTTACCAAAATCAATTAAAAATACTTTTAATTGATTGAAATGGCAATTAGCCACAATTTTTCCTCTATACCAATTATTATTTACTGAGACAAAGTAAATTTGGTTAGGATCTGCAGTAGTTACAGCACAATTTTCCAGATCTTCTGCGTTTAATCGACTACATATTAACTGATTTAATAATTTGACCAAAAACTTCATACTTTCAGACTGTATTTGTACATAAACATCACCATCCTGTTCTATGTGGGAAATAAATACTTCGGATACTTGTACGTCCTGTACACGAAAAGAAATATTTTTATAGAATTTTATTTTCTAAACTGCGTATTAGACTTTTAAATAGAACACAAAAAATACTTACCGCAGTTAATTTAGGAGCAACTACGATATGTTCTAAAATGTGTTTAGATAATTCTGTATTTAAATTAATATCATCACTTCCATATGTATCATAAAATATAACAGTTGCGAATGGTTTGTCTTGTTCTTTACTACGATTTAGTACTTCAACGTAGAATGCACGATGCAGCAAAAACTGTTCTATATAATTCACAACACTATCGTAGTCGCCAAAATCTTCTAAACCAGCAAGACATAATCTCAGTGCCTAGTTTTAAGTTCATAATAAAACATTAATAACATAACGATACTTGTGTTACGATAAAGTAAATAAATATTATTATACCTGAGCAGGAAGCACACAAAATTTTCTGTCCAACATTTGTAAACGACTCTGATGGAAAACAGCTTCATCGCCATGATCGATAAATGAAACTATAACATTTCCATCAGTAGCGTTATAATCCACGCAACGAACTCTATGCCATGATTCGTCTTCAAAAACAACATAGTAATTTCCAACTTCAATAGTTATCGGTTTAACATTTCGAGTATTTCTGTAATGTTCAGTTATTTCGGCAGTCATATTTTCGAATTGTTCCTATATATAGCAATACACGTAAATAAATATAAAGAAATGATACATAAGAAATAAAAGAATGTTTATAAAAAAAGTATGTTTAGGCGTACACTGTATGCATCGTCTGCAATTCGGGCCCAAATTTCTGTAGTACTTATGATACACGTAACAGATACAAGCCAAGTATCTCCTTTTGGTAATTCCAATTGTCCAGGTGCAGCAAGACCAATTGGATTTAGTTGTATTTTATCTGCTTTTTGAGGTATGATATTTTTCATCTAAAACACAATATTGAATTGTAATCCTGTTATTCAAAATCTAAATACAGACAAATAATTTTGAAATTTGCTAAATGTATTTACTTTTTCAGGAGATAAAACATATCGACGTAAGATTATAGAATTATCAACGCCTTTTTCTAAAACTATTGCTGGACATTCTTCAACAATTTTCTCCCAATTTCCTGGCAAAATTTCTTCATACTTTTGTCCATAATATATGGGTACTTTATGCATGAAAATACCATTTGGATGGTCATTTATTATAGATAAAACTCTTTCCCTTATGATATTTTTGTCTTTAGTTTCGTTCAAACTGAAACCTGATCCAAATTTTTCAATAAGGTCCGTCAGCGCAATTTTTGCTGCAATCTTTTGTGCATCTTCGATAGTAGGTGCTTCTTCTGGATAACTTAAATACCCATGTGGACCAATCTGAAGAAACAATTTTAGTATTTCATGTGTAAAGATTAACATTATACATGTGAATATGATATAAAATATATCTTCACAAACCTGGACTTGTGCAAATATAGATGCAGTATTTTTAATCGGTGACGGATAAATTTTATATACTGGTTCCGGATAATTTAGCGCAATAGCTCTATTTCTTAATTCATCTCTTGGATCAATGGAATGTGGTTTTGGCACAATCTTTTTGATATTATCTAATAAAGTCTACAAACAAACACAAAATAATCAATATATAATGAACTACTCTTAGATTACTTGTAAAAAAATACTATAAATATTTACAGGTGAATTTATTATTGGTTGTTGAAACTGTGTTATTTTACTATCTGCTAAAACTTGTCCAGGAGAAAGTGGTGATAAAACTTCAGATTTACAAGAAGGTGAAGATGGTGTTGGAATATTGGTATTCAAGCTTAGCGCTGGTGGGACATTAGAATTAACCTTGAGTCTTTCACTTATATTAGCAATTTTCTTAAGTGTTTCCATATTGTTATTAACAGTCTTTGGTTTCTGATTTATCACAGGTGGCACCAACTTTGTATCAGTTTTTACAATTTCCGCATTTTTAGATTGATTGACACTTTGGTTTGTTGCCACAACAGAATTCATTTGTCTGTCTTTCAGTCTCTGTAACAGTGCATAAATAAATTTATTTTATTCAATAAATTAACAGATGTATAGTACTAAAGTAAGATATATAAATACTCATATCATTTACTTTGCTTGGAGAGTTTGGTGGTACTCCATAATTGGATTGTATGTATCTTGGCTTTTCATCATTCCGATAAATAGTAACTTTTGTTGGCATTGCAGGAACAACTACATTTTGTCTAAACATATATTAAAATAGATATAGCTAACATTATAATTTAATACTTTGCAAGCTTCAATGTATATTATATTTGTTAATTCAAACATTCACTTTACACTGATATTTTCTAACATAAACTAGAAATCAATTCCTCAGAAAATAAAAAAATAATTTCCATTCATTCTTGTCACTTGTATTTACCTTCCACTTGTTTGTGAATACAAATTATCATTAGTTCTTGGTGTAGGACGCATATATCTTTTCGTCATCAAAGGTAAACGAAATGGTGTTGGTTTCCGAGCATTTACCTATAATAATATAACATTATTGTATTGCATAATATAATAATAGTACTGATTATATTTAAAAAAATAATGAAAAAAATGTTACCAATTTTTTATGTTTTTTGCATACTGTTTTCTGACGTGCAATCAATCTTGTAAGATGCGCAGATTCCTCAGTAGGTATAGCCTCTACATAGATTTCAGGACCTTTCTCAACAATTCTTATACCAGGAACAGTTTGTAAAAAAGCTACCAAAGTCTGATATCCTAACTTTCGAAATGGTATATTATCATCAATGAGCATTCTATAGTCTTCTAAAAAAATGCAAATTTAAAACTTAATTTAATATTTCTGACAGATAAATAAATTTGTTATATCATATTTAATGTACTAAATGTACATAAAACAATTAAAAATATTGCAAAAACTTACTACTTAAATTTTCTATGTTAACACCGCCCTTTGAAGATATTAGACATGCACGTAAATTTTTGATTACTTCTTCCTTTTCCATTATTGCTCTTATATAAATTCAAAAAATAGTAATAATAATACGTAAAACTTATATATGGTAATAATACTTAAAATCCTGAAAATTAATAAAATGAAATTGTTAGAATTAAGTCCATTTGTAAATCTTATCATCAATTGAAAATATGATATTAACAGCAATACATGTTTTTATACATGAAAAATATTTATAAATAAAAACTGGCTTATTTATATTACCCAAGAATGTAATAATTTTGTTGATGTTAACAAAAACTACAAAAATATTTTAAATCTTTTGAAATTATTATTCAATCACGCTCGGTTTTTTTAATTCAAATAAATTTTTGATTTAATGATATTATATAGTACATTAACTTCTAAAAATTTTTAAAGAAAAATTATATTATAAGCACTGTACTGACACCACTGTATTATTTTATAAAGTAAGAAACAAACAAACAGCAAACTATCATTAATTGCGAACTATCAAATCTCGGATACGCCGGCAAATGGCGATCGTATCGGTACTGTAGAAATTGATACGATACACGGAATTGTCAAACTATTCAAACAAAAATAAGTTATTAATTAGTGAAAGCAATTACTTGGCATTGATATTTAAGCAAACTTAACAATTTAAGCAATACTTTAAGACCACGGTACTTCCCTTATGTTATCAACAAACTTTCCCGGGATTCACTTTATAAACTTTCTGATAAAACATTAAATGTATATATAGATAAAACATATATAAAGTTTTAATCTATCTATTCTATTAACTTAACATTATGTACACTTTCACTTTCTCGAATCATTTGACGTTTTATTATCATAAAAAGATGTAATATAATAATTGGAACTAAGATTAATAGTAACGTTATTTATCATATATAAATACCAAAAAAGAACTACAATACATAATTTGAATGCCGTACACGCTCATTTCTCTAAAATGAGTACATTGTTACCTTGACGTCATATAAATTGATAAAACCAATTATAGTTCCAGATGACATGTAACTAGTGTATAAAACCGAACATAAAGAGGCAATTGCAACAGCTGTACAAAGAAATGAATACAATTTATATATGTTTTACGGATATTAATACCTGTAATAGCACAAGCTAAATACTAACAATTCTTATTCGATTAAACTGTACGAAGAATTTAATGAACGATGAAATAGTTCGCAAAAAAAATTTAGGCCACCGTTATGCAGACGGAAAAGTCGAACGTACCGTCGTTCTCTTAAACGTCTTTCACATATAAGGAATCACAACCGTTTTTCGCGGACGTACTCAACTTCACCTCTTCCTTCGAAGGTTCACCACTATTTGACAACAACTCGATTGATTCTAACATTCCCTCCTATTTTTCGTTCACGAAGATCCGTTTCTAAACTCCATTATTTCTCCGCAGAGTAGCTTGCCCAGCCTATCATTTGTTAAAGTAAAACGAAATGCCCTGCTTAGCCACTCAGATTCGTCCTCCCCACCCTACACACCGTTGTGACGAACCAATCATCTGCTGGGATTTATAACAGCGGCATATTCGAGAACCAACGAACATTCATCATTATTTTCTATTATTTATAAAACTTTTTTGTATGTTATTTACAGTTAATATAGCATATATTAACGTAAAAATTAAATTTTTAATTGCATTTAAAAATATTGATTCGGTATAATTATATCAGTTCAAAATCACGAATTGAAATCTGATTCCTTGTTATCATCGCTATTTCCTGAGTAGTATTTACACCGTTTCAAATTACATGAGACATATTATATTTGTCTAATTCGCTTTAATATGGTTAGATTTGCTTCTTAAATATTATTATCTTGATATTTAAAACTAATTAAACGAAGTCTAATTATAAGATTATAACTAATTAAAAGAAGTCGATGTAATATCAAAGACGTATTAAAAATTTTAATTTTACAATTTTTAAGTAATAAAATTATTATCTAAAGAATAAAATGAAGGATGTATATTATAATTTTTAATACTTCAAAACAATCGCGAAGATTATTTGTGCGTAGTTACAATGAACTTGTTACTGCGTTTATCCTCATTACATATGTGAAGACGAAAAAAGTCAACGTAAATAACGTTGTCACCGTAAGAGTAAATAATAAAAAAAACTGTTTGAAAAAAGCATAGACAAATGGCTTAATTTAAGAGGTTCTATACCGAGGGTTTTGATTGTTTCAACCAGCTGTAGAACAGATGACACCTTGCAATACTTTTTAAAACTATAAAAGACACATGTTTCAAAGACTTTAGGTTATAGTGGAAACAGATGATTCTTAAAGTAAAATAGAATACATACTTTTCGCAAGGTTGACCTGAAATTGGAGAAAGGATACTTTCCCCGTTGCCGGGTCTTTATGGCATATCATAAAAGTCAGTTGGTGCTATTGAAAAATTTTGACTCTGCGTTCACAAAAGCGATGATTAACCTAATCTCCTAAACCCTGAATATTTTCAACTTGTTTAGATTGGTAGTGAATAAGAAATATTAATCACGGTGTTAGTAATCCCTACAAATCTTATTGAAGGGTTCGAACACTTATTGTAACGAAGTGCGTTTCTGACAGAAAATGTTATCTCGTGAGATTGACATTTCGATGACCTTGGGTTAAGAAAAAAATTGGACTACAATAATAAAGTGCAGTGTACATTTTTCTGTTTTTATTTAAAAAAAGAATTCTTATTTATTATAAGAGTATAATTTCAGGGTTGATGAGTAATCAAGGGTCTTATACGTAATTGTGTACAGAGACAGAATTATGAGTTAGTTATCTTAACTAAATAAGAAATATAAAAGTGTTTGTTAGCCTGGAGCGGTATGCGATTTATTTGGAACAAGAGAATTTAATTGTGTTACAATTAAGAGAATCTTGATGATGTGAATTACTCACCATTTCCAATAATAAATTAGAAAGTAGTGACAATCGCTGCGAGAAATAAAAATTGATGAGCACACAGTATATTACTTCTTTGTTACCCGGTGCAAGTACTGGTACCGTAAAAGCCAGGTTTCCTATATTTTGTTTTTCGAAATAGGAAAGATGTTCTCGTAATGTAAGCGTATGGTTGTAAAACATCTGGTGTTTTAAGGCACAATAACCTTCCCATTCTTCCATAATAGGTGGGGTGCTTGTGTCTAACAGGTAAACAAGCGCTTGTTCCTGCAACCTCATAGTCATGAATCCTTTTTAGCATCTTATAAACATCAACTCATATGTATCTTTTCTTTCATAATGACTTGTATTTATAATATATCTAAAATATCAATATTAAAGTTAATTTATAAACGAATTCAAATTATTTTTTTATTTGAATTGAACTATTTATTAAAATAAAATTAATGACTAGCAAATACATACAATAAAACTCTATTTAAATAATTACTATAATTTTTCAGAAAAAATTTGTTGTCTATGCTTAAAATGAACTGTCAATTATTAATATTATTTATTTTTAATAGAATAGTGATGTCACAATGCATTTTCTGCAAGCATTATAATTGCAAGAATATTATTATAAAAATTAACTTACTTGTGCAGATGTAAAAGTAATTTAACAATATCTTTTTAAAAATATATACACTTATTCGTTAAAAATGATTGTTCTCATCGAACCAGAAAGAAGATATTTAAATGCGCTCCAGACGTGTAAAACGTGCGCATACAATGTGCGCGGTAACTTTTAAGGTGACTTTTATTGTTAGGGGGCAAATTTGTATGATTAATTACTATAAAAATAAAATCTGTAGACCAGGTGTGACTGAATAAAAGAATGAGTACCTCGCACTAATACTCAACAATGAGAAGACAATCTTTCTTATTCAATAATTCGACCAATGTAAACGAGGTTTAATTGATTATTTGAAACAGATGCAAATTGCTAATCTTTTTAAAAAACAGTAAGCGTAATGTACTCTAAAGTCGCTCAGTTTGCTATAAAACGCTTAATTTGGCTACACTGCTTTCAATTTTTTTAAATTTTCACCTAACCATCATTTTTTCTAGAGGAATACATACTTGCAATTGAATACTATGACCGCGCGAATTGATTTGATTGGCTAACTTTAATTATTAATAACTCTATAAATAATGATCCAAACTAAAATTGGAAAAGAAACTTCTGATTTCAAATTATATCGTTTTATACATTGAAATGTTAATTAATAACTACGGGGCATATTATGTGAATTTACACAACATCCTCTCTAATATAATAGCTGTTTATAGAACAATGCTTTTTATTTAAAAAATTAAAATTTTGCTATTTTTTTCCTTAAAATTTACTAGCCCTTTAAAACGAATAAATTATCGAACAAATCTTACCCCACCCTCTATTATATTGAACATTGATTACTGACTACGTCTCATTAATAAATCTTTCGTATTCAAAATATTATATTTTCTATCTAATAAGAACGTCTTCAAGCACGATACATATTTTATAAGTTTACTGTAAAAGAAAGTCAATGTAAAACTCATCTAATCTGGTTTAAATAATTTATTTTGCATATTTCTATTACAATTTTGCTCGTTTTACACAAGAAATAACGATACAAACATTACATCAATATTAAAAAAAGAAGAATGAAATATAAACAGGTTTAGGGAAAGAATAAACGCATATGATATATTTTTAAAGGAAAATTTATTATCATAAAACTTGATGAAAAACCCTTTCATGATCAATTATTAGTTTTGAATAACAATTTATTCCTGTCATTCTTGCATGTAATCGCTTAAGCCACCATAAAGCGTCGAAAATAAATTTGTTTAACCAAGGATAATTGCAGAATGAGGAAGAAAAAACTGAACATCGTTATGAACAATTAAGGAAGAATAAAATAAAATCCTAATTTAAGATGTTTATTCCTTTTTGGAAGCCACAGCCTGTTTGGCCTGATGAGCTTGCAATACAGCTACGGCCTCTTCAACCTTGGCTTTTAGCGATTCATTGTGCTCCAACATGTGCAGGAGCTCTGAGTTGTCAATTTCCAACAACATTCCAGTGATCTTTCCAGTAAGTTGCGGATACATACATTGAATCAACGGGAAGAGACGCTCTCCCAACATTTGTTTTTGCTCTTGTGGTGGAGCAGCTGCCAACATCGAGGCAGTTAACGGTTCCTGACCTTGGATGTGAACAGCTTGCTGAACAGGAGTAGGAGCAGGGATTGCCATTGCCTGCGGTGGATTACGCATGTTTGAAGTGTATTTGTAATTTGACGGACGGCTTTGAGCTGAAACTCCCACTGCTGGACCAGCCATAGAACGACTTTGCATGTTCGCACCACCCACTGCTTGTTGGCCTAAGAAAATAAACAATTAATAAGAATGTGAATTATTTTTAAATGATTGTGTAATTCAGGCATGACCAGGCATAATAGGTAACTCTTGAGATACGCTTGGTCATACCTGGTATAATCAGTTATCATTACCTGTGATAGGTCTAGCAGATAACGTGCTTCGCATAGTACCAGCTTGTGCAGTAGGAGCACGTGGTGTAGTTCTAAATGGACCTTGCATCGTAGCGAAGCCAGAATTTCCTGTTTGTGCATTGGGTCGCACTTGATTCGGTTGCGCTGGCCAGCGTGGAGTTGCACGAATCTGGGCCATCTGTGCAGGTCCATAAAATCTTTGTGGTTGTGGAATCGTGGGAACAAAATAATTTCCGGCACCACCAGGCGGGAACATCTGACCCATTTGCTGCATTCGCATATTCGCTAAACGTTGCATGTACTGAGAAGCAAGATGCGCTTTACGATCTTCTTTACGTTGAGCCAGAGCGACATACAATGGTTTAGTAACTATTATACGTCCGTTCATCTCAGTTACAGCTTTGGTAGCCTCTTCAGGAGCTGAAAAGCAAACGAATCCAAAACCTTTGCTACGCCCATCTTCCATCATAACTTTCGCAGAGGTGATGGTTCCGAATGGTGCGAATTCTCTGCGCAATCGCTCGTCATTTATGCTATCATCCAAATTCTTTACATAAAGATTTACACCTTGATAACGACTCAAACGTTCTAATTTCAATTGTTCGAACTTTCTCTTGAGTTCTTGTTGACGCTCTGCTTTCTTCTGCGCCCGTCCAACGTACATACACTTTCCTTCAGCCACCTCTTTTCCGTTTAATTCTAGTACTGCTTGTTCAGCAGCGTCAGGATCTTCAAATGCTACAAAACCAAAACCTCGAGATTTTCCATCATCTTTAATCATTACTTTATGACTGGTGATGGTCCCATATTTTTCAAACATTTCTTTAAGTTTATCATCTGTCATATCTTCTCCAAAATTCTTCACGTAAACATTGGTAAAAAGCTTAGCTTTTTCTCCCAATTCCTTTTCACGTTCTTTGCGGGGTATAAATTTACCAACATATACCTATACATTATAAATTACAATAAATATTTTGACTTTAAAAAAAATACATAAATACTAGAATTATAAAATTACCTTTTTTCCATTTAGCAACATGCCATTAACTTTATCAATAGACTTGTTTGCTGCCTCTTCGGTTTCAAAATGAACAAAACCATAACCTTTAGAAACGCCAGATTCATCCTGAGCAACTTTACAACTAAGTATGTTACCAAAAGCAGAGAACGTATCATACATTGCTTTATTGTCTATGTTTTTGTCTAAATTTTTTATGAATACATTTCCAACACCGGATTTTCGAAGAGAAGGATCACGTTGAGACCACATAATACGAATAGGCCGCCCCTTAATCATGTCAAAGTTCATGGTATCAAGTGCACGCTCCGCTGAAAAACAAAATACAAATTATAGTATGTATAGAATTATACATATGTAAATATATAAAACTTTATTTGTACAAAATAGATACCTAGAAATAAAAATATTAACATCATTTTTAAATAGTTGACAAAGGAAATTTATATACTTCATAATCAATAATTTTAAGAGTACATGCCTAATATGCACATATGTGGATTATCTTTTGTTAAAAAGAATTAGCTCTTATCTTATCAATATACAAAAAGTAATTATGACGTTTTAATTGCGACTTATATTATCAACATATACATATATGCGATATGCGTACATATATATATAGATATACATATATCATTACATATATACATAACAAATAAAAATTAAGCTTCACATCAAAATTTACTATCTATATAAAAATTGTAGACATTCATGTAAAAACGTTGAGTAAAATTTTCAACTGAATATTATAGACGACATGAAAAGGAAGATAACGGAAAACAAAATATGATTCATGTAACCGTCAAATTATACCTACTTTGTTCGAAGTAGGTTTCAATATGGTGGCATTATATGATCCGAAACACGTGTCAAGTGCGGATACATGATGTAACTAAAGATAAGTGTTAGAAATGGTCTTAAGAATTTAGGTCGAAGAAATATAAGAATAAGTAAAGGATTTACTCACCGTCAGCGGGTTGCTGAAAGTTGACATAAGCATAACCGAGCGAACGTCGTGTAATCATATCACGACAGACGCGTATCGAGAGTACAGGCCCAGCCGATGAAAACTTCTCGAAAAGCATCGCCTCGGTGATATCAGCATGCAAGTCACCCACGTAAAGTGAGGCCATAGGATAATTCGGAGCACCCGGATTCATTTTAGTAGTATTCCCACGTCGTGCAGCTGCTTTAACTTGAAAATTCTCTGATTTTTGGTTTCTTCCGTTCGTTCAATATGGCTTGCGCTCTTCCAACCACGTTGCTCTTCGTAACGCGATGATTACTATTTTTTTCCACACTTTACTTACGTTTCGCGGTTTTCAGCTACGGTTTTTCGATTTTTTTGTTTATATTTTTTGGAATTTTTATATTTTTTTTTGGTTTTTTTTTTTTATAGAAGAGTTATTTCACGAATGGAGGTGGGTTGTGTGACCTATTTTGAGGAAAAAGGAGACACAACCACACGTGAACACAACTCTACTCTTAATGAGGAAGAGGCATTGAAAATAGTTCCCTTTATGCTTATATACCGACCACCGAACGCATCCACTTTGGAAAAGTAGTTCCTCTCACGAATTACGCGACATCTATAACTGAATCTAGGGTATTTTTCAAATAAGTCTTATAAAATGCGATATTCAATTTTCACGAGTGAAATTAATTATATTCATTATGTGAATTACATTTTCTAGGTAAGAATAATAAGTTTGATGCAGTACAACGTTGATAAATTACTAAATACAGTGACAAATTTCATATCATGTAGGGACATTTTAGGATACTGGACATGCGTAACGCTTTGCACTTCATTTTAAATATACGCCATTATTAAACTGGAAATACGTCATTTAATTAATCAATAATGATATGAATTCTAAATATATTTCAATTATGATATTCAATTTAAATATCATTATTAATATAATCTTTTCTGTATAAATTAATTTATACATTGAATAAGTAAGAAGATAGTCCTTATCACAAGAGAATGTACTTTTTAGATGACGAATTTTCATTTGTTCTACGCATGTTGCCTCTGATTGGTTTGTAACACGCAAGCGCTTCAATTACATTTGCGATGACCTTAGTATATATCTAGTGATCTTTTATTTTGTACACTTTGTTGTAACAAAGGCTTTCTTTGCATAAAGACAAGTGTAAGGAAAAGAGTCTCTTATCATTTTCTTTCAATCCTGAGGATCAAATTCATATTTCTAAATCTCCTAATTTTCAAACCTCCACGTTTTTAAATTTTCGAATTTATATAGTTCTAAATTTTAGTTCACCATGTATATAATTACAAAATGAAAAATAAACTATAGATTGGCATCACATTGGTGACAAAAAGCCTTCTGAACTCAGCTAAGATGCGTGAAAGAAATATATTTTCGCATGACCAGGACGAGACTATACACTAGGGATTTATTAAGTTGGTAAATTGATACTAGTTTTATAAAATCGAAGTTAGTTACGAACGACTGCAAAGTAGTTTTTGGAAGAATTTTAAAGAATACGATTTCCTCGTGTAGAATAATTGATAAATCATAAAAATGAATGCTCTGAGGAAAAAATTCCGTACGTATCCAATCCACACAATTGTGTATTAGAATTATCTCCATTATGTTATATAATTAATTCAATGTTACGTATTTTGTAGCTGGTTTGCAAAAATGGGCATACAACTTGTCTGGTTTTAATCAGTTAGGTATGGAGAATTGATGTGCTGTCATATTAAATACACTTACCAAAACTTTCTCTTTTTAATATATGTTTTATAATTTTGTAATGTAAAATGTGACATCTTGTCACAAATTAGTATATTTATTAGTTCTTAACTTTTTTATAATTGTAGGTTTATATCGAGATGATGTTCTTCAAGACACTCCTGATGTAGAAGAAGCCTTAAGAAGATTACCAGCTCATTTAAAAGAGGATCGTGATTTTCGTGTTATCAGGGCTATGCAATTAAACTGTGCAAATAAAATTTTACCAAAAGAACAATGGACTAAACTAGAAGAGGTAATTTAATTAAACAAATATAATTCATACAATAACGTATTTTTCTTTGCTTCTGGGAAAAATATATTTTATAAGTATAATTCTTATTGTTAAACAGGATGTCCCTTATCTTCAACCATATATAGAAGAAGTAAGAAGGGAACGTATAGAAAGAGAAATATATGATGCTGAGTGAAGTATAAAATACTAGAATGTAATAATTACAGTTAGTGAAATTAATATATATCTTATATATAATTTGTTAAAATTTAATCATTCGTTTGTATCTATAATTAATAAATATTAAGTAAACTATACCTTCCAGTGTAAATAAATGTTATTACTACAAGCCTGACATGTATAAATGTAATGCTTACAGCACAAGAAATACATGTTTCCTGCATGCAACAATTTAATGTACTTTGAAATCTTTGTTTCATCAATGTCTTCTTTTGTTTGAATAAAAACATATATAGCTTTGAAATTTACATTTCAGATTAATGAAGTTTATCATATGTTTTGAAGAATTAAAAATAGAAGATAAAAAACACATTTTCACAATATTATATTTTAATAAAGGTAAAAACACTGCCTAGATGACAAAAAAGATATTTGTGGAATACAGTGAAGGTGCTATAAATAATTGCAACCATCAATTCTGGTTTGTGAGGTATTCCATCGACAATATTTCAGTAGATAATGGTCTATGTTCTAAAATGTTTCATGGCAATTGAATGACCTTGATCAATAATAATTCATCCTAAACAAAAAACTGTTAATATATTGTATAATAAAATCTTAATTGTAGTTATAGTTGAATTTGTTAGAAAAGTAATGGAACAAGATAATTTTTTAGCCAATTCAACAAAATATATAATTAGATTTCTCCTAAAAAGCGAGACAATTTTTTAATCAAATCAATATATACATCGAAGTTTCAATAGCTAATATATATAATAATTGACAGTTCAAAATAAGAAAAACGTAGGTAGACAAGGTTTTTATTTAACGATATACGTAGGAGCTGATTATTCGTAATTATGTTCGCATCAATTCGTAGCTCGTTTAACACCCTTTACGCAATGACTTATTCATCGTTCCCCCACGACGATCTAGTGCATAGTTAGCGCGTAATATATTGTTAATGAGTGTGATTGTGAATTCTTGCCACTGTTAATCGATATAAAATAATTCGAATTTGCACTAAAATAATAATTGGTCTATTATACGTGTAAGAATTTCGCGGGCAAATGGCGGATCAATATCTCACCCCCACGCGGATCTAAGCGGCATTCCCGATCGTCAAAGATTTATACAAAGTAATTATTAATTTTGTGAGTGAAAATATTTATCGTCAGTTTTTCTTTCTTCTTTCTCTTGACGACTACTTCATTATTTTTTTTTGTCATTAAGTCATGTAATACATATTTTCCACATGACTAGTAAAAAGATGGTTTAAAAGGGAGAACCGCACGGAAAATTGTTCGGAGAGAATGTTCCAAAAAGTGGTAATGGGAAATTGTCATTTCTAAAATTGTTATGCACTAAATTTCGCGTAACACGCTTGAAAGCTTTGCTTAATTCAATCATTCATTATTTCTCATTTACGCAGTTCGTAATAGTAGCATGTACTCTCTAAATTTCCATCTTGTGTCGTACTAGCACCCCTTTTGATAACGAATTTAATTTCTATCTCTTGAACGTGCAAAAAGTGAGAGAATAATAATTCAGGAACGTGAATTTTAATCTAGACTTGAAGCGTTACTGCGTGAACAGTGAAAAAGGTAATATCACTCTTTCAGAATTAAGCGAGATAAAATTGGCAAAACGTTCCGATTTATCAATTGAATTCCCTTCGTGGATGTTAAGTACCTTGCTGCTTAAACATCATTTTGAGACAGTTATGACGTGCGTGCGAAGGTAAATAAATTAATTGCATCGCTTTCAAGAACTTTTCTATTTCGATATGTAAAATTTAAGGGACACTCGATGTACCTGTGTAAAATACATACGTTTTGGTTAATTACAGATGCCGGAGGAACAACGATCAGCGTGTTTCCAGACAGTGGAAACGCTGATAATGAATCTCTATAAAGTTGAACATCATATTTTATATTTAATACAAACTAAAAAATTTAAAAAAGAGTTTATATAATAATTTCTTTGATGCAGTTAAACAGTTTTAACTGTATATTATTATACGATGAAAACATAATGCTTAATATACCAGGTGCTGAGCCAAAATACTACCTCTGTTACATGTACAAAGTTACAAAACTAATCGTATTAGAAGTAAAATAAAAATATTGATTATGCATATGAATGTACACACATATATAAATTTCAATGTAAATGGAGAAATATATACTGATTTATAAACATTCGCGTGTGAACGTGTAATACAAAGGGAGTTAAATCAGTTCTTCCTAGATACATGTCTCATGTTGGATAAGGTATCACTTGTAAACAATATGGCAAAAAGAAATTTGATGATAATAATTTATTGACAAATGCGTAAAGCTAATAACTCAAAAAAACCATCTATTGAATGAACAAAAATGAGTATTCCATATGATGAAAACTTGGTATGGATAGTAGTGGTTGGATTTTTAGTGGCCTTTATTTTGGCATTTGGTATTGGAGCAAATGATGTTGCAAACAGTTTTGGAACAAGCGTTGGTGCAGGAGTACTTACAATAGTTCAAGCATGTATTTTGGCAACTGTTTTTGAAATTGCTGGAGCGATCCTAATTGGCTATAAGGTATTTCAAAAATTAATATACTGCTTATAAATATGAATAATATATTTTATATAATATGCACACTAGGTCTCCGATACTATGAGAAAGGGTATACTAGATGTTAAATTATATGAAGGCCATGAAAAAGAATTAATGGTAGGTGCATTGTCTAGTTTAGCTGGATCTGGCATCTGGCTTTTATTAGCAACAGCATTGCGGTTGCCTATTTCTGGAACACATTCTATTGTTGGTGCTACTGTTGGATTTTCACTTGTCTGTAAAGGTACTGCAGGGGTTAGTACAAATATTATTTTATTGATTTAAAAGTTAATAAATAATATATTATGATATAATAACTATATTTGTAGGTGAAATGGATAGCTCTTACAAATATAGCAGCATCATGGATTGCGAGTCCTGTACTTAGTGGAATTGTATCAGGTGCTATATTTTGGCTTCTAAGAAAATCAGTATTGCAATCTAGCAAGCCTTTAGAAAAAGGTCTTCATATTCTCCCATTAGCATATGGTCTCACTGTTGCTATAAATGTTCTATCAGTTGTACTCGATGGACCTAAACGTAAATGAGTTTTATGTATTTGTACTTTAACATATTTTAGTCTTTTATATAAATTGAATTAAACGTTATATTCTTTGTATTTATTTTCAGTTTTAATGATGGATAAATTGCCATGGTGGGGTAGTTTATTAGCTGCAGTAGGTTTTGGTTTATTTTCAGCCGTCATTGTTTATGTATTTGTTGTTCCATGGCAAAGAAAGAGAATATTACTTTCACTGAATAGCAACGAAAAAACAACAACAACAACAAAATTTGGTACCTGTGATAAAAAAGAAACTACAGCATTATCTGTTATTTCTGAAGTTCCGTGTAGTAGTAATAGTAGTAGTAATGGTAATGCAAAAGAAGCTGCGCCAAAATTACGTGGTAACAGCAGTGCAAGTCCTCTTTTAATGGTAGCTGGATCAGATATCGAGGGTGTTCAGAACGAAACTGAAAGAAGAGTCGAAGAACAGCCAGAAATATCTAAACTGTTTGCCTTTTTGCAAGTATTAACTGCAGCATTTGGTAGTTTCGCACATGGTGGTAATGATGTCAGTAATGCAATAGGACCACTTATTGCACTTTGGGCTGTATATGCAGAAGGATCAGCTAGGCAAGAAGCAGAAACTCCAATGCTTATATTACTTTATGGTGGCGTAGGAATATCAGCTGGTCTTTGGGTATGGGGACGTAGAGTTATACAAACCTTAGGACAAGATTTAGCACGTATCACACCAACTACTGGATTCACTATAGAGGTATACAGTAAAATTGAAAGCTTCTTTTCTGTTGCCTACAAAAGTATTTCTTTTAAAATTGAAATTTTTTATTTAAATATATTTCGTTTTACACTAATTATAGGTAGGAGCAGCGGTAACAGTTTTGTTGGCAAGTAAGGCTGGTTTACCTGTGTCAACAACTCATTGCAAAGTAGGATCAGTTGTTTGTGTCGGATGGGCTTCGAGTGGTGGTGAGGGAGTTTCATGGAAATTATTTCGGAATATTGCATTCGCGTGGGTGATTACTGTACCAATGGCTGGCTGCTTGTCTGCAGGATGCATGGCTATTTTCAAAGAAATACTTAGTTTGTGATTTTACTGTCAGGGCAACTAACACACTTTAGTGGAAACCATCCAATGCTACTATTGTCAATAATTTATGCAAAAATAAACGATCAAATGTAATTTAAAAAAAAAAATTAATTTTTACCTATATATAATATAATTATTAAATACCTGTTTATTCATATTTTTTAATTGATTTAGCATGTGTTCAATTATAGTTACATCAATACATAGTAGTGTTGTTATGGAAACAAATTTAAACAAAATTTTTTGACAGAACGTTTTATACTGATATCTTTTAAAGATTTATTTGATCTAATAATTGTATATTTTAATATGGAAAAATTACCACTTATACCAGGATATACAATTCATGATTCAAGTGTAAGTTATATAAGTACAAATTGGTGATTGAGTTATTTTAATTATGTTCAAATCAATGGAAATGATAAATAAATCTTTCTTTAAAGATTACAGATTATAAATTATTACAAAAATTTAATTTTTTAAATGGTTATCGTATAGTATGTGATAGTAATGTTGGTATTGGAGGAAGACCAATAGATGCTGCATCCACTGCATATATAAAAGAGGAGGATTCTGCACAGTATGTAATAAATAACGTAAATGTAAATGTGTAACATTCATTTTTCTGTAATTGAAACTTATTGAATATTTAATTCCTACGATAATTTAAAAGAATATTAACATAAATATGTTAATGTTCTGTTTTAATTACTTTTGCTTTCTTATTTAACATTTATGTTTAACTTTAATATCTAGCTATGATCCATCCTTAACATATGGCCGGGTAAAGGAGTATGCATATCGACAATTTGTCCCACATTATGCATTATTTGCCCATAAATGTCTTTGTTTCAAAGCATTCTTTCGTCAGGGAGTTTTTAACTCTCCAGATGAATATTTTCGAATACGTCATGTGAATATAATTTACTTTCTGGAGGATGATACAATATGTGTAATGGAGCCCCCAGTAGAAAATGCTGGTTTTAAGCAAGGGAAACTTGTAAGACGTGGAAAAATTGTAAAAAATACAGCTGGTGATATATTTCATTGGAAGGATTTTAATGTTGGAATTGACGTATGTACGTTTAATACATTCTGTCATAATGTATCATATTTTTTTAGTAATCATTTTTAATTACCATACATCGTTTTAATTTCAGGTATTTATGGTGTAGTTTATCATATTATTGATTGTGATCTATTTACTCAAGAGTTTTTAAACAGTCAAGGCATTGATGTTGGAGACAAGGAAGAACCTCCTGTAGATCCTTACACGCAATTTCGTACATCTAAGCAGACAAGACCAACGCACGTTACATCAATTCCAGATGATAGCAGGCGACGATTCTTAGAGTATGATAAAATGGTGTTATCATTTACTGCCACTTGGAACGACGAAGTTTATTGTATAACGTATTTCTTAACGGATGATACGATAGCTATTCGTGAAATACAAAAACCTAATAGTGGAAAAGATCCGGTAGTGATGTTACTGAAAAGAATGAAAGTACCAAAAGATTGGAAAAATTTACCGTCAACTTATCCTGCCATATATATGGAATGTGGCGATCCTGAAATAGTCGAATACTATACGCCAAAAGATTTGATAGTAAACCAAAAGATTTTATAATAAATTTGTGATTATAGTGAAGTCTTGATACATGGCCTTAGACAAGGCTGTAGGAACAGGAAAATTAGAAAATATAAGTGGAATTTACTTGATAAATCATATCAAACAAAGCCATGTAGCGAGACTACACTATAACAATAAGATCCTTTGATCAATATCTTTTTATTTATTACTTTCCTTATTACAGATAGGCGAGACGATTTTTATATTCAACCGGCGCTTTTTCCTGCACGATTGTGACGCCTTCACGCGAAAATATTACTCAGATATGTTGGGAATAACGCAGCCAAAAGAAATTCCTATTCCAACCAAGAAACCTAAATCAGCGCCGGAATATAAACCTCCACCGCATATAAAGTTCGGTGCACCTGATGATACTTACGCCTCTTGTCTGTCATTCATTCTCAAACCACCTAAGAAGGACACTGTTCGACAACTACTTAATTTTCCAAAAAAATTGCGGTACTCCATGCAGATGGATGCGGTACATCCAGAAGACAGGAATCGTGATTTTATTTTAGAATACAATTTAAGCGAAGGTACGATTCTTGTACAGGAACTTGAGAAACGTAACTCTGGACGACGCGAAGGTTGTTTTCTGAAAGCAATGTTGGTTCCAAAGCCAAAAACTGGAAGAGATGATCCAGAATATTATACCCCTCAGGATTTCTTCATAGGCGCAAGAGTTAATTTTTTTAATCATTACTTTATCATATGCGGCGCTGATCTTTTTGTGTATCGTTATATTGAAGCGAATCCTGAGAAATTTCCACGAGAAATACGAGATAACATTCGTGATTATTTTGTTAAACAAAATTTACTTAGCGACGATATAAGTACCGAAATTAAAAAAATAGAAGATAGGAAAGAAGCAGAGGCTCGTTCGATTAAAATGGTTGACGAAGACGTTAAAAATGTTTCTGATCTAGCAGAATGCTTAGAACAACTTGAAACTCAAGCTAGACAAAAATATGAAGGGGAACATGGTGAATTAAGAGAGCGTACACCACCACCTGAAGAATTATGTCCAGGATTAATAACAAAGAGTCCTGAGGAATCTAATCAATATCAAGATACAAAGACATTTCCAGAAAATGTTAAAAAAAGGGAGGTAACATGGAACGATGGGGTAAAATAATAAAAAATAGCATAACTTTTTGACTAGTAATCACGTTTAACATAATTTCGTTTTCAAAGTCACTGCAACTGAACCACGTGTCTTTAATTTAAATATTTTTCTAAATGAAATTATTAAGAAAATTCTTCAATATGTAACTACTTATGTTAAACGTAATTATCATTTAGCATTTTGTAGTAATTTCAATTAAGAGACTCCCAATTGAAACTAAATTCAGTAGTTCTCATTCTTTGGAAAATTTACTACCTACGTGTATGGTATTTTTTAATAGTTAAATTTGAATATAAAATATATGATTTGATTCAACATTTAATCAAACATGATTATACAATGTAAATACTAAACAGTGTAGTACATTATGAGTATACTATTCGTATGTCTGTATATTATAATACAACAATAATATACAGATATGCAATTTGTATACATATAGCATATATTGTATTAATCATAAAATAAAGTTCAGACAAATCTTTGGAATCCAAACATTTTTAAACAAAATTCTAAAACATGATCGAAGAGCATAATTATTTTTTAATTAAATACTAATTTCTCATAAAATAGTAATTAGTAAATTATTTAACAAAATTTTTTTAAACATCATTCAACTGAAATACAGAAATTTAATAGATCTTATACAATTATTCTAGTTACTGAGACATTGCTAGATGTCCATTTTTTCTGAACAACTTATCCCATCTTAAACTATAAATAAGATACAATGATTGAAAATCATCAGCCATAAATTTTTAACGTTGATATATTACTTTAATAAGATGCGTTTGTTTTTTTTTTGCAACATTCACAATATAGAACTGAGGAAAGAGACTTCTACTGCATTTAGATTCTCTTCCTTGGTATCTATTCATTGTTTACGCAAAAGTAACTATTATAATCAACATACTTTGATTAAAAAATCCGCATCACATCGCGTTAAATTCGCTCGTTAATTTTTATACAATTTAATTCATCAAACTCAAAATTTCATATTACTATTTCATGATTATTTTGTGTATGAAATATCTTGTATGACCTGCTAAAATACTGTTAATCTGTAATAAAGTATAACTTTGTTTTTATAAAACTTAAGAAATAAAATTTTATTACTTGACTGCTTGCTTTCAAATTTTTTTAGAAATCAACTATATATCACTATTTTTATATGTAACTGTCAGAAAAGTAATCAAATCTACAGATAAAATTTATTACTTCGTTTTAGTTCACTGAGTTCATATTAGTTAAGCAATTTTTTTGCTACACTAATGTTCAGTTTTCTACATATAATTTGTGAAAAATTGTCTAAGTTTAGTGCTATTACTTAAGAAGTTTTTAAAACAGACGTGAAAAAGTATATGTATTTTCTGAAGTATATAATGACTCGAAGAAACTTCTGTTTTTTGACAAAAATAACTCGAATTTGTAAACTAATGAAACCGTGACAAATGATTCTTCACACATTAAATGAAAAGGAAAATAACATATTTCTTTTAACAATGAAGAACATATCTCATGAAATTTCCATCAAATAGTATAATAATAATAATCATCACCGTATATGTTACTATAGAGTAACTGTAATATTATTTTCTTTTTGTCATATAATATTTTAGATCATTTTTGCAGTCCATGAATAATATAATAATAGGTAATATACATACAGGCATATATACATATATCAATTTATATTGATATAAACATACATGTATGTATATATATATAATTTTCAATAGATATAGAATATGCATAAAATAATTAGTTGACAATAATTTCTATTATTATCCAATGTTCAAGCATAATTGTTACAAATAAACTTAAAATGTCGTAATAAGCCCTTGCACCTTTTTAACAAAGAAAGGTGAGTCCTTTCAGCCACAGGCACCAAGTTACATGTCCATCAAAGTTTAAAATGGTAATTGATTTAAATGACACTTGCTTACAATATTGTTCTCGCATAGATTTTTTTCATTATCAACAAAAGTTTAAGCATTTTACAAGGGTTAGTTCACATATTACAGTTTTTTCTTCTGTTCCATATCTTTTTTTTCTTTCATTTTTTAATTTGTACGTTTAAGAAACACCTTTCGATGAATAGCACGCAACACCACACTATATGCTTATAACTGTCAGCAAGTTTACCCAATATCCCTTGAAATTGAATTATGTTCCTCTTCATAGTAGTTATGATTAGATAATATTTATAATGTCGACGCGACGCTAATTATCATACAAGTTGATTATTTAACAGAAGGAAATAGTCTCAATGATGAGAGTTTTGTCACAGGAATTAGAAGCCCTTTGTGTATCCAAGAAAGCAAAGGTAAGTAGTAAGACGATAATTAGTCGTAACGTGCTTCCTTTATGACGATTACTATCATGAATAGTATTATATTCTTGTTGTATCCACCGCTACTGGCGTGAGCCTCCTCTACCTCTGCTACGACCACCATCTCGATCCTGTAATAAAAATGCAATTTTTAATATTATTTATTTAAATCAATTTTCTTTTGTATTGTACACTTATAATAATTTATAAAGTTACTTACTTTGCGCTGATGATGTAAATGCGGCTGCTGATGGGGATGATGGTCTCTTGGTAAATCTGAATGTCCCCTATTCCTATGATTGGAAGAATGATGATGTTGTATAGCATTTGGTGGTGCTTTGCGTTGATCCTCCTCTGCTTGCTTACGTTCATAATGTCCAAAATCATCAAAAATACTAGTTGAATGACGATAAGTATGTAATATACGTAACACTGTCACACCTTTCGCATGAGGGACTTCTTGTGCATCCCTCGAATTAGTCACTGGTTTATTTTCATTATTTTCTAGTTTAATGTGACGAAGTTGCACATTAGGAACATCCTTAACATAAATCCAACGTACTCGAAATTGGCCTTTCCATTTATCTTGTGACCAAACAGAGCTGTTGCTCTGATAATCAACAGGTGACACCATTTGTGCCATGCCACAGAAGTGACCAGATCCATTTACAGAAAAGAACAAATATAAAGGAGCACCTTCGCGGCTGGCTTCTCTATATGCTTGATCCAATCTTTTATTACCATGTTCTGTACTACACCAAATCTCATATTTGATGGATCTATGAATATCATCTTCAGAATAAGACTTGATTACAAAAAACCTAGCTCCAGGAGCAGTTTGATCAAATTCTACAGGATTATAATCATTCTTCACCTTTAACTCATCTAAAACAGGATGTGATTGTGACTGGGTAATTTGCTGTTGTTGTGTTTGTAGTTGCTGCTGCTGCTGATGTTGGTGTTGTTGCTGTTGTTGTTGCTGCTGCTGCTGCTGCTGTTGTTGTTGCTGTTGTTGATGTTGATGTTGATGCTGATGCTGTTGTGGAGGCATATGAATCTGTGATTGTGGTGGAGACGGAGGTGTTGTAGGTTGTCTGTTCCAACATGGTGGAGGAGGTGGAGGTCTTTGTCTTTGAACCAATGGTGGAGGTGGTGGTACAGGAGGTTGTACCTGTGGCGGCGGTGGTGCTGTTGGAGGAGGTGCAGAAGATTTACCTTCACCCCATGTTCCAATATCCATATTATGCTTTCCTGGCACAATAGGTGGTGGTGGCATTCCAGCCTTCTTTTTCATTCCTTGCGAAGATGAAAGTGGAGGAACTGGTTTGGCAGGCTGACTCGCAACACTGGCCCATGTTATCTTTCTAGGTTCCTTTGTTTCCGGTTTTATTGATTGATTAGATGTAGTTTGTTGATCCTGACGTGGAACTTCTCCACTTCCTAATGACAAGCCTTGTACACTCTGTTCTATAGTCTTAATCTCTGTATTGCTAGGTGTTGGGTAGTTTTCATTTCCACGTGGAGCCTGATAATATTCTTCATAACGTGTTTTTCTTGGAGTGCCCCAAGCACTAAAGTCACCATTCCCATGAAAATAATTAAAAGCAGGTTGACCAAACGTACTAAAACCACCTCCTGCACTAGCAGAAAACATTCCATCCATGCCATATGCATCATGACCTATTTGACCTCCATATCCAGAAAGAAATGCAACAGGATCTGTTCCATTTGACCAAGTACCATCCCCAGCTCCAAATGTCTGATAAGGGAATGAAGTACCTGCATAGTAAGGACTATATGGATCACCGGTACCAATTGGATAACTTGAGTGATGCGTATTATTGCCTCCTCTCCATGAATCGAATCCAGTATCTTCTCCACCAGCATGTTCTGTCTGCGGTTGTTGCTGGTGTTCTTTAGGACCATTGCTCACTATCAGGGATGGAATTTTATCTCATTAATGAACCAAATGTATATCTCTTTTCAAAATAAAAAATTAATGCTCTAATATAAAATATTTTATAATAGTGTTGATGTTGATGTTGATGCTGATGCTGTTGTGGAGGCATATGAATCTGTGATTGTGGTGGAGACGGAGGTGTTGTAGGTTGTCTGTTCCAACATGGTGGAGGAGGTGGAGGTCTTTGTCTTTGAACCAATGGTGGAGGTGGTGGTACAGGAGGTTGTACCTGTGGCGGCGGTGGTGCTGTTGGAGGAGGTGCAGAAGATTTACCTTCACCCCATGTTCCAATATCCATATTATGCTTTCCTGGCACAATAGGTGGTGGTGGCATTCCAGCCTTCTTTTTCATTCCTTGCGAAGATGAAAGTGGAGGAACTGGTTTGGCAGGCTGACTCGCAACACTGGCCCATGTTATCTTTCTAGGTTCCTTTGTTTCCGGTTTTATTGATTGATTAGATGTAGTTTGTTGATCCTGACGTGGAACTTCTCCACTTCCTAATGACAAGCCTTGTACACTCTGTTCTATAGTCTTAATCTCTGTATTGCTAGGTGTTGGGTAGTTTTCATTTCCACGTGGAGCCTGATAATATTCTTCATAACGTGTTTTTCTTGGAGTGCCCCAAGCACTAAAGTCACCATTCCCATGAAAATAATTAAAAGCAGGTTGACCAAACGTACTAAAACCACCTCCTGCACTAGCAGAAAACATTCCATCCATGCCATATGCATCATGACCTATTTGACCTCCATATCCAGAAAGAAATGCAACAGGATCTGTTCCATTTGACCAAGTACCATCCCCAGCTCCAAATGTCTGATAAGGGAATGAAGTACCTGCATAGTAAGGACTATATGGATCACCGGTACCAATTGGATAACTTGAGTGATGCGTATTATTGCCTCCTCTCCATGAATCGAATCCAGTATCTTCTCCACCAGCATGTTCTGTCTGCGGTTGTTGCTGGTGTTCTTTAGGACCATTGCTCACTATCAGGGATGGAATTTTATCTCATTAATGAACCAAATGTATATCTCTTTTCAAAATAAAAAATTAATGCTCTAATATAAAATATTTTATAATAGTTTTCAATTAATTATTATTTTAAATTGTACAATTCGATTATCATAATATGCACACATAAATACATACACACATGTACACAAACATACTATTTCAATAATACATACAAAATATTACTTATTATAATATAATAACTTATTTATGCATTACAAAATATATAATCATTTGTAAAAACAATACTACTTTCAAAACTTTTAGAATAAAAACTGTTATGATAATCCATAAATCATCTATCACAACAATCACACATTACTACAGGAAAAATTAAGAACTGTTTTCATAGTAATAAGTACGATAAATTTCTGTTTAATTTTTTTGAATAATTATTTCACATATTATACATTGACATTGCATATAGTGCAATAATATAGTAAAAATGTTGAAAGTATTATTGGATAAATAATGAATATTTTTTGTTGATGTTTTGAGTAAGCCTTTATTACTAAACTGTACAAGGGAAAAAGGTAACTCAAAAATATATTAAATTAAAGTATTAAGGTTTTATGTGATATCAAATTTTCATTTGTATTCTACAGAAATATTAATTATACACATAGTATACACTTTATGAATATAAATTTATCACGCAAACAATTTTCCTGATAACTTATTAATTTATTATAATATTATACAATGCTTAACAATATTACAATATTGAACCAATTCTTAAATTTTTTTAAATATTTAATATTCATCATAATGTCCAAAACAATATAAATTCGAAAGAGAAAAATAAATGTGCAATAATTTCACTGATAATTTAGATATTCAAAATGTATTTCATATATATATGTATGTATGTATGTACATATATATATATTATGAACATGTAAAACACACATCATAGACACATACATATATAGATATTTATCAAGACATTGATAAGAACATTTTAAGAAACATATACATGTTACATGACTGTGATATCAAGATATTTCAAAAGAATTATGCATAACGCGTAAAATAAATATAACAAATAAAAAATTTAAGTAACCATATAGAAATTTTTACACCAAACAATTCATATATCTCATGATTAGCAAAAATGAAAAGAAAAATAAATAGAATCGGTATACAAAGTCTCACCTTGACTGTTAGTTTGTCCTTTCATCCGCTGCATTCCGTTGCATGGAAAAATATACAAAATTTAGAATGGCTGTCTTCAGTGAAAGGTATCTGCAGTATAGCGGTGTGGTAGCAAGTCAACACACTGACCTGATTTGAAACAGCACCTGCCAATCCAGTTGACATAACCTGTCACACACTCTGTCTGCCCTTCACAGACGCCAAATAGACGACTGTGCTTTAATAAAATCAACTTTTCAAATGCAATATCACAATTACATACAACAGCGTTATGCCACTCAAGTACGCGGACACTTCTTTCGCGAAGAGAAGTCTTCGAACTAGGAAATCCGTGAAACCTGAGACCTCCGCGTATTTTCACGAAATGTCTTGCCGCGAGAGAGTCTCAGGAACCCTTCCGTATTACACTTCGCAATAGATAAATTTGCACAAAATTCTCAACTCCGAATAATAACTACGTGACGTGCACTGACCTCTCGTATGTATTAACAGATTGTCTAACTTTCACGTCTATAAGATCCCTATACGACGAATTATAACCCTTATCACGATTTAGTGAAAAAGAAATAGATTGCACTTCATTCCGCGAGAGAGTACCCTAACTAGGCTTTTCTGCGTATACAATTCTATTCGGCTCTATATACTATGTACTTTATGGTAATACGCGTGCGCTTTCACGATTGTCACGTTAAAAACATATACTTAGTGAGCAAAAAGTTTTATAATTTATCATTTTTTTTTATATTTCAGTACGTTCAATTCATTTCTATATTCGCATATTTTGCGTATATATTACAAAAATTGTAATAAATCGTGATCTGTTCTTGCTATTCGTTTTTTTCTTGCGATGTGTATATTCACAGAGGCAGAAACAGGTAGAATTTCCCTAGGCTGTTGTGCTGCGCAAGATGTCATCTAGTTAGTTCTTTGTACCTAGAACACAATATAGAAAATTACTTGCAATAGTACTTTAATGTAATAAAGTTGGCGACACATAGTTTATTTAGTTATATTTCATTTCATATTTTATAGCTATTGTTAGTAATTACACAGAACAGCAGTTGTTAATAAAACATTTTGCTTAATAATTTTGTTAACAAATTAAATGCATTACTTATTCCTAAGGAAATAATAGAATCAAAACATTTTTCTATGTATATTCATTGGTTCATGCAAATAAATAAAACAAAAAATGTTGGCATTTCATACATTTTTCTTAAGATTATTTATTTTATATAAATGTATAATAATGTATAACATGGCCACAAAAACATGTGTCGAACTTAGTAATATATTAGATGTTTACACTGATTGGTTTAATAATTTCAATACTAATGTAGTACTACAATACATTTACTTAGATTAAATTAAAAGATGTAAATGCAGAAAATGATAAAAGTCAAAATTAATTTCAATTTCAATGTACAACACAGCTAGGATCTCATAACATCATTTTTCTTACTTTTACAAATTTACAATCTATTATACTTCTACTTAACATCTCTTCATCTTCATTTTATTGTTACTAAGCAGTCACAATCAAAATGAATTCTTTACTAAATTGTAAACATAAATGTCACACAAATTCATGTCTTACTTGTCTGATAACACGTTATGATATATAAACTGATTTAAATGTTCAAAATTGATTTCTGTTTAAAAGTTAGTATCGTATATATTCAATTTGTATACATATTTCTGCGAAAAATTGAAACTTGTACTTATTATACACACTGTAAAATGCATAAAAATAATAAATGTTGCATTTTGTAAATTTAATACATTACAATTCTGTCATGCAAATATTTGTCAACATTTTTATGTTGAACATATACGATACATGCATTCGAATATCTCGTACTTTTATATACTCTGAATAAAGAGTCTTTGGTTATAAATTTTTTTTGGAGCAAGGTAGACTCTTGCAAACCATCTTGTATTCATATGGATTACCAGCACCATTTTGCACACAAGATGTAAACTTTTTACATTTGCTTAATGCAAATTCAATTTCTTGTTAACCATGAAAAAGCTTTAAGAATTAAGTATGTCAATGTTAAAGCATATAAAATTTTTTCTCTTTGTTGACGTTGTAACATATCAAGCTCAATAGCCATTACACGACGATTTAATTTTCCTACTTGTCGACGTAAATGTTGTATTTCTTCACTAGGTGGAAGAGAAACATCAAGTGCATTATAAGATGGAGTTTGTTCTCTGAAAGGCAGATATAATATTAATTGTTCAGAAAAATACAGTGCATAATTCTGCAAGTAAATAAATTCATACCTCACATGTCTAACTATTTGTGTTTCTGCAGGATATTGTCCATGAGATCTAGAGGATACAGGATCCTTAGCTTCTGGTAAATATGAAGTTGGTTCTTCTTCGTCAACAGCAGGGAAATAATGATTATCTAATGTCAAGATTCTTGGAGGAGTCTATTTACAACATAAAAAAGTTACAGATGCTTATAAATATATAACAAGATGATAACAAGATGTTCAATATTTACCTGTACTCTAATTAATCCTGGTTCAGATGGCAATACAGCATTTTCTAGTGCAATTTCTCTTGGAGGTGCTTTAGTTCCTACATGTTGCTCTTGTCCTGTAAGTTCATTATATCTCATATTATTTTAATGCAGTTATTGTTATTTCAGAGACTTATAATTAATAACTTCATAAAATATATATTAAATGAAAATAAAAATTTTACTTTCTATACTTACCAACAACTAAAATTCTATCTGGAACATGCATTTCAAATTTTTCTGCTGGCATCACTTGATTCCAACTAGAGCCATTTGTACCAGGTACTTCTTCATCCGTATAATCTCCGCTCACACGTATACTTTTTGGAACTCGCATCTTCTTATTAATGTCCAAAGTAAAATTTGGGTCATAAAAATTGTCAGCCTCTCCATTAAAAATAGGACTATGTGCTTTTGACATTTTACTAAAAAATAAAAAATAAAACTTAAACACAATGTAACAAAGGGAAATCAATCGCGTACTTTTATTTTGAGAAATAAATACGAAATATTTGAAAAAAAAAACAATGAATTGTTTGTCAAACATAATAAATGTTCGTTTCATAAAGTAAAATGAAAATTTAAAACACTACTTTTAATTTCTACTAAATCGAACAAATAAATAATACAGCAAATTATACATAAATAGTAATTTAACAGTATAATTATACTAGAAAAAAGCAGTGACGACATAATACAAAATTTAGTTTAATCGTTGTGTAATAACAATGCAACGCAAAATACTGTGCCGCACATGATACTTATCAATAACAATTATGACAGCAAACAAATATAAATGTTCAAAACGTTATTATCAAAGCTGGCTTACCTTTCAAAGCTGAACTTTTTATACTTTCTCAACCAGTGAACATAAATTCTCAAATGAAGTTGGCTGTATAATATCGTGCTAAATCAGTGCTGTTCACAAGGAGTTTTTAGGGAGCCTTTGCGGGGCAAGATCTCCTTACTCTTTTCTTATATCATGCACGTTCACACACATTTGTTGTACATACAACCTTAAGTAAAGATTGAATATATATTTATCGGCGAAAATAGGTTTGAAATAACCATATGGCTGAAGAATCGTTAGACTGTGAATAAGGACTAACGAGAAATAGGAATGATAGGAAACTAGAACATACAAGGGCCCCTACTTGTCGACAGTACTGTTCAAATGGTTGCGGTATCGTTCCAAAAATCGTGGTCAATACACGACTAGTTTTTGTTCATTCTGCACATGTAAGATTTGATTGGTTTGAACGCACTTCATAATAAAGAGCAAAGCGCATGTGCCTTCACATAAAAGTGTATACCCAGCGACTTTTTTTATTTTGCACACTCTCTGCATCAAAGTCCCAAATTTTTAGGGCGCGAGATCTAGAGTGTAGAGGCTCTAGAATCGAATTATAACTTTATCTAACTATATACTAAACTCGACCTAATTTCAACTGAAAGTTTTGAAGCTTTAAAACCACAGTCAATTAAAAAATTTTTATATTATTAACTCCTCCAGCATATATATATTTTGTTCACTGTATATATGACCCACGGAAAAAGAGTGTATGATAGACAGTATTTTAAGTAAATGGTAGGGAACATACTGAAGTTAGCCAAGTTGCGCGAATTGGGTATGATCTATCATGAAACCAAAAATGGCAATCGAGAGTAATCGATGTGTGAAACTATATCGATTGAGATAAAACTCCCGCCAAAATTACTAACAGCACCTGCTATTGAAACCTCCAGTTGTTTTTGGGTTCTTTCTTTTATATATAAGAATCTGTACATACAACGTTTAAAAATTTATACTTGTTATACTTTATGACATTTTGATATTGAAAAATATGAGTGAATCACAATGTAAGTGTCGTTACTGTCTATGTTTTAAAATACATAAATTTTTTTATTTTTTTTTTTATAAGTTTTTGACTGTTACGCATTCTGACGCACTTTTTTATCGTCACGCAATATTTTTGTAAATATCAGGATGATTTCTATTTAACTTCAATACTTTTTTTCCATTGAACATTAACATCTATCAAATGTGTTTGTAAAATTATTTAGCACCTTCAGTAAGTAGAAGTAAACGTCAAAAAGTTGATAAAACAGGAAGATTATCAGCTTTAGAAAAATTAAAACAACTAAAAGGCAGTAAACATAAATATGAAATTGATGAATTAGAAAATGTTTACGAAGAAGTTGATGAAAAAGAATATAGTAAAACTGTAATAGAGAGACAAAGTGATGATTGGATTGTTGATGATGGTAGCAACTTTAGTATAATTATTAAACTAATAAATATATATTACAAACATTTCTATGGAAAAATTATTAAATTAATTTCTATTTCCAAAGGAAACAGTGGTTACGTGGAAGATGGTAGAGAAATTTTTGATGATGATTTGGATGATGAAAGTATACAAGAAGCAAGAAAGAATAAACTTGCAGGACCAAAAAAAAGCAAGAAAGATGAGAAAAAGAAGAAAGGAAATATTCAAAATATGATCATGAATATGCCTTCTAAAAAGAAGGTTGACATTGCATTAGATCATGACAATATCTTAGGAGATTTAATGTCAGAATTAAAAAAGAATGATACCCCAAAAAGATCAGAAACAAGAACTGTCAAAAATAAATTTTGTGTTAGCACTCAATCAAATGATATGTAAGTAATTTTATCTTTTATGTTTAATAGTTGTATTTTGATGTATATTCCTTTTTTTATAATGAATCACTATTTTAGAAAGACTTGCCCTAAACAAAATCTGCAGCCAGTATCTGAATGCACTAAAATACAATCTAATAATGATAGCGATGATGACTTAATGATGTTTGATAAACCCACACAGAAGAAAACAAATGCACATAAACAAACAGAGTCAACTGGTCAACTACAGAGTGTTATATCAAACCAATCTAGTAGTCAAACAATTATAGATGACGATGAAAGTATTGATAATTCAAGCAATACAGTATCAGACATAAAATCAAAAGAGAACATTAAAGATCCAAGTGCCAGTCAAATAATTGAAACTGAAAGTGAAGATCTTAGTCAATTTATGGGTGATGTAAGTTTATTCTTACTGTACTGAAAATATATTTAGAAATAAATTATTGATATTATAGTTGTTATATTGATCTATTACAGTTTTCTAATACAGATTTTGAAGATAAACACACTAATCATACTGAAAAATCAGTGCCACCCATCATTCAACAAAAAGAAAAATGTAAATTACCTGCTCAAATAAAAAACAAAGATATTGAAGCAGAAATGTCTGACTCAGAAAGCTTTAATAAGATCTTAGATAGTGACTTTGAAATGCAAATCTCAAATATTGAAGTATCTGCAGAAGTATCTGATACTACAGAATTGCCTTTACCACTTGTAACTAATTCAGATAAAGAAGAAGTATTTAGATTTTATTATTGGGATGCATGTGAAGATCCATTCAAACAACCTGGAATTGTGTACTTATTTGGAAAAGTTTTTGTACCATCCATAAAAGAGTATCGTTCTTGTTGTGTTACAGTAAAAAACGTTCCACGAAGAATTTATCTTCTCCCTAGATTATATGTATGTATGAACATATTTTCAAATATGGTTTTTTTATCTTAACTTTTAAACTTAACAATAATGGTACAAATTTCAGATAAAAACTTCTTCAGAAGAAAATGGCCAAGAACCACAATTAAATACAATAGAAGATGTATATAAAGAATTCAATCAGTTTGCAAATAAAGTAGGAATAAAAGAATTTCGTTGTAGCAAAGTGACGAAATATTACGCTTTCGAGCAAGAAGGCACTCCAGCAAAGTCTGAGTACTTGGAAGTAAGGTATTCTGCAAATTGTCCAGCTATGCCTTTTGATTATTCTGGACCATCTATAGAACGCGTTTTTGGGACTACTGTAAATGCTTTAGAATTACTTTTGATAGAAAGAAACATTAAAGGTCCATGTTGGTTAGATATTAAATGCCCGTTACCGACCGGTGTACAAACCAGTTGGTGTAAAATAAAGGTATTATAATCTAATTTATAAGTAAAATTTGTTACTAATAGATAAAATGTTAGGCACTAACAATGTACTATGAAATTTTATAGGTAAATTGTATGAAGATAGAAAACATATCTGTTTTCTCTGAAAGTCAAGCATTACCACCATTAGTAGTGATGACTTTGAACATACAAACAGCTTTAAATTCTAAGCAGCAAAATGAAGTAGTTGTCGTTGCTATACTTATACATCATAAATATCACATTGATAAAGAACCACCGAAGCCACCGTTTCAACAACATATTTGCTGTAGGTTTGGTTGTTTCAATTTAAAATTTAAACTGTGTATTTTTTGGATGTAATGTACATATTATTCTACATAGTAATCACACATCCACGCGAGGTTCCTTGGCCAAGACAAGCTCGAGAAATGCTATCAAATATTTCATATACCAAAGTAATGAAATTTGAAACAGAAACAGATTTACTTGAAGAATTATTAAAAATAATCAACACAGCAGATCCAGATTGTTTAATCGGATATGATTGTGGTTTTCAATTTGACGTATTAATGCATAAAATGACAACATTAAAAGTTTCAAATTGGAGTAGACTTGGAAGATTAAGACGTTCAACGCCTCCTCTTATGAAGGTATAAAACTTACATCTTTGCAATTAATTATACAGATAATTAAGTAATGGATTTTTTCAGGGAAGAATAATCTTAAATCAAGTGTTTGCTGGACGTCCTACTTGTGATATACAAGTATCAGCTAAAGAATTGAACCTCAAACTTAGAAGTTATGATTTGCAATCTCTCTGTGTGTCTGTATTAAAAAAAAAAGAAAATGAATGTAAGGAAATAAAGCCAAGTGAATGCATATCATTTTATAATACAACCGATAAAATAGACAATTTAATCAAGATAACATTAACAGAAGCATTATATATTCTATCCATTGTTTTTGAACTTAATGTTCTTCCACTTGCTTTGCAAATTACGTGCATTGCTGGTAAGTATAATGTACAGTATATCTATTAAAATTCTACACAGAATGAATTTACCAGAAAAGTACGATATTTATTTAGGAAATGTTATATCAAGAACGTTAACAGCAGGACGTGCAGAAAGAAATGAATATTTATTATTGCATGCTTTTCATTCAAAACAATATATAACACCTGATAAACGAAACATGAAAAAGGGGAAAAATGATGAAGGTATATGTTCAATTTTTAAACATAAAAAGTAGTTATCATGTTAATTATTTTAATATGATGTAAACAGAACAGTCTGGTAGAAAGAAGGCAGCTTATACTGGAGGCTTAGTTCTTGAACCGAAAAAAGGATTTTATGACAAACTTATTTTATTAATGGATTTCAACTCTTTGTATCCTAGTATAATTCAAGAATATAATCTATGTTTTACTACTGTACCTGGCGCTGCATACGCTGATAGTGAGGTAAATTCATTTATTATTATTGAGTGAGAAACTAAAATACTTTTATTTCATTCTATTTGTAATCGTATACATACAGGATTTATCTTTACCTGAGTCACATTTAAAACCAGGAGTAATTCCAACTGAAATTCGCAAATTAGTTGAAAGCAGAGGGGAAGTGAAGAAATTAATGAAGACACCAAACATTTCACCTGAATTAAAAATGCAATACAATATTAGACAACTAGCTTTAAAACTTACAGCTAATTCTATGTATGGTTGCTTGGGTGCATCTCATTGCAGATTTTATGCCAAAGGACTTGCTGCTCTAGTAACAGGTAGGATATAAAATACAGTATAGTAATTGAACCACGTTATTTCGATTATACTTACATTTTACATATCGTTCTAGCAAAGGGTCGAGAAATTTTACAACATACAAAAAGTCTTGTTGAAAAATTAAATTATGAAGTCATATATGGAGATACTGACTCCATAATGATATGTACAAATGTATTAGATTATGATGAAGTTTTTTCTGTTGGAAAAAAGGTATTTTATATTATTATAAATATTTAATTTGTTTAACGTTCGTATAACTATATTCATAAAAATGACATATAGATCAAACAAGAGGTCAACAAGTTATATAAACGAGTAGAGTTGGACATTGATGGTGTTTTTCGTTACTTATTACTTCTACAAAAGAAAAAATACGCTGCAGTTACAATGACAAAATTACCTAATGGACAAATAGAATTAACACAAGAACTGAAGGGTTTAGATATTGTACGAAGAGATTGGTGTCAATTAGCTTGTGATGTTGGAAAGTAAGTAAAGCCTTTTAACAATTTAATATGTTAATATGTTAACAATATTTAAGATAAAATTCAAATAATATTATTTAATAACATTAATAACTTTCAGAAAAATATTGGATCAACTTCTTTCTGATGGATCAGATGAAGATCGAATAGAGCAAATTTTTAGTTTGTTACAAGACGTTGCAGCAAGCGTTCGAGAAAATCAAGTTTCATTATCATCGCTGGTTATAACAAAACAATTATCAAAAAATCCAAACGACTATCCAGACGCTAAACAAGCTCATGTACAAGTCGCTTTAAGATTAAACAAAGAAGGGGGTAGAATGTGGAAAGCCGGGGACACTGTTCCTTATATTATATGCGATGTTTGTATATATTGATCTTAATAATATTTAAATTTATATATATTTTTACTATAAGTACTTTATTCTATATTAGGATGGAACAGAAAAGTCTGCAACTGAAAGAGCATATCATATTGATGAATATAAAAAGAGTGACTCTTTAAAAATAGATGTCAATTATTATTTACTGAGTCAAGTTTTTCCTATTTGTTTGCGAATTTGCGAACCAATTCAAGGAATCGATGATGTTTTATTAGCTGCACATTTAGGTAACCTTTCGTCAATCATGCTGTATAAATTATTAAACATATGCTATTAACAAGAATTTTAATAATAGGTCTGGAAAATGTTTATAAATCTAAAAGAAGAATACACGACGACGAAAATGAGATACCATTATTACTAAATGAAGAAAGATTTAGATACTGTCTTCCTTTGAAATTCAATTGTAGAGATGAAAACTGTCAATCAGAGATTATAATTAAAGAGGTTGTGACTGAAACGGTAAGAAGTTATTAATTTTGTATTTCACATATAAATCTTTTATCCAGTTTTTAATTATAAATATTGAAGAAAATAAATTAATTTACAGCCTACTGGTAATCAATTATCACTTGCTTCATGTTCGAATCCAAGTTGTACACTGCAACCTTGGACATATCATAATGTTATACAAAATGCAATGACACTTGCTGTACGAGAAGCGATTACTGAATATTATGATGGCTGGTTAGAATGCGAAAGTCCAATATGTGGTGAACAAACACAAATACTTCCATTAGGTTATAAAAAACATCCAACTTGCAGAGAATGTAAAGATGGTCGTTTGCATAAAATGGTAAGGTGAAAAGTTCATTGCTGTTTTTTAAATTTTTAAAATACATCAGCAACTAAAATGTTACTTTCCAAAAGTTTTCAGATACAAGACTTTATAACCAATTGTGCTTTTATCTTCATCTTGTTGATGTGAGTCAGTCAAAATACAAAAGTTAGTATTTGTGGTTCTTTGATAAAATATTAATACACAGCAAAAAATAATTATAAACATATTTACTTGTAGATTTATTATCTCAGCACCCACAGGGTATGAGGGAAGCATATGATTCATTGAAAGAAGCAATGGAAAAGATGCTCAGGCGAAATGCATTTTCTGTTGTATGTTTGGATACATTATTTTCAAGTCCTAGTTTGCAACAAAATGCATCAATTTTAGATAAAGGTACATCTGAATTAGACATATCAGATGGATCAGATGTGTCAGATGACGAAATGGTAAGTAGATATAAATGATAAACTTTCAGTGCAAATACAAAAAAATAATATAATACTAAGTTTCTTTTATTTCAGTGAAAATACTTTAAGTGTTATATAATTCAAACTCTATTTATTATCAAAATAAAGATACGTTATTTTAGATATTTTATATTGTTATATTTAAACATAAATACCTTTATAGATATTTTTGATATTATAAAAAGCCTGTTGTAACATATAACATCAAATTAATTAATAATAAAATAACTTTTGAAGGTTTATCATATACTGTCAGTAAAAACACGACAGTTTGTAACATTTCCATTTTCTGAAACAGTTTGTTATGCAAATGTAATTATTCATTGAAAATGTTTAATATACAGTAAAGTATACTATAAATATATTATGTTACTCTAGAATTACTGTAAGCTATTTTAATATATTTAAATGTAAAAGGTAAGGTACTTTAGAATAACGTTGTTTTGTATATTTATATTAAAATAAATATGTAAAAATAAATTTACAATATTTTTAACAAGTACATAGTTATGTATTATTTTATTTTTTTCTCGTATATATCAATATTTTAATATTGATTTTATTCTTATAATATTAAGATATTTTGCTAACTATATACTAAAACAGGAACATACTTTAAGTTTGTTATGTACTATATGGTGGTAAGCCAAACACTTCAGGTTGAAATTCCTCAAGACTATTTATTACTAATGTTGGATTTTCAATATAATTTTTTGGTAACATTGGATCAGGAACCATGACAACCTGCATTCCAGCACTAAGCGCAGCTTTAACACCATTTGGAGCATCTTCAAATACAAGGCACTAAAAGTATAAGTAATATGAGTATAAATAATGACTAAAAGTCAAAGTAATTCTGTGAAAGTTGTAAACAAGAATTATAACACACCATAGAAGGATCAGGATTATCAGAAAAACGTTTGGCAGCAACCAAAAAAATGTCAGGTGCTGGTTTACCATCAGCAACATCAGGATCAGAACCTCCAAGAACTTTATGATTGAATAAATCAAACACATGTGTCCACCTTTGAGTTTTCAATGCAAAGTTTTCTTTGTTTGAACTTGTAGCTAATGCAAATGGAACATTATGTTCTTTTAAATGTCTTAACAATCGTTCAGCACCTGTATATAGATGAAATAATTTAAATAATTTTTATAAATCTCTTAATATAACTTTCATAAGAAACTTGTTTTTGTAAGTTACCAGGCATAAGATTAGCAGAAGGAAATATTTCTTTATATATTTCTACTATCTCATTTTCAAACTCTTCTGATGTCATTGGTAAATCCAACATTTCAATCGTAACTTTTGCAATAGCTTTAGTCTTAAAGCCCATAATTTTTACTTTGTGTTCCCATGTAAACTCTTTTCCATAACGGTTTGCAATACGATTAAAGGCTTTTGAATAAAGTGTTTCTGTATCTATTGACATTTAATGAAAGATTAATTACATAATTAACATATGTATTATATACAATTCATTTAATTCACTGATTTTAAAAATAATTTATAATTTATACGTTAATTTGTAGAAACTGTGTTGAAGGTAGTTTTAAAACTCTATGTTTCCTTTTCAATAAGAACTTGTGTATATCTTTTCATATACATCTATAAGTGTGTATGTACAAATTCTAACACAGCTTCCCAAAGTTAGGAGTAAAGCACGTACAAACTCACGCATGATGAGTGCTTTTTTAACCCTTTCATTGACAGTAGAATCCGCTCATATAGATGCATGGTGCATTTTAATTTATATTCCTCATATTTCTTAATAATTGCCATTGACAATCTATTCATTACTACACGTGCATAGACAAAACAAAATTACTACATTCGCATAAATAAACATTTACTTATATACAGGTTAATTTTTCCTATGCAAAGTTATTACATAGGTGATCGATTTCGGAAAATAGATGTTCAAAACAGTTTTTTCCAGTGTATTCCTCATGTTATTTATGTTAAACATAAATTGTTTTTAAATATTAGGTTTAATACGTACAAGTGTATGTAACAAATGTTGTACGTACAGAAAGTCGATGTAACTTGATAGTGTAAAATAAAATACAAAATCACTTACCAAGTAATAATCCATCCATATCAAAAATACAATGTGTAACTTTTTTATATTGATTCTGCGACATTTTTCAGTTAATTTATATAAATTTGTACAATAATTAGAATCTTACACTGTCGAACAATACTATTATCAAACCAATATACAAATAGAAACTTATATTTCCGTGATAATTATTAAGGTTACTCGCATCATATTAAATCATAGGGTCAATTATGTAACATATATATATAATAAATCCAGATATTAGATTGATTCACACCTATATATATCTATTTTTTATTTGCCTAGAGAGTTATAGTCAATTCGACGAAAGAATAGAATTCTTAAACGACTAATTTTCATTTACTCTACACACGTTGGTTCCGATTGGTTTTGATATGCTTTGTAACCAACAGCATTTCACATGCGCGCTTACGACAATTTCGGCACTGTTCGTATATACCCAGTGGACTTTTATTTCTTACGATTCCTACTTTAGGAGTCTGAAGAATTTCGAACTTTCGAAATTGGGACAAGACTAATAAAATTTGCTAATTTGGAAACTTGCAAGCTTGTATTTTATATATTTTATTTACCATACATGTGACTAATCAAACGAGTAATAAAACAATACAAATAATGGAGTGATCTACGTGATCTCAGTCGAACTTGGTTAAACTGCACAAAACGATTCCACTCTTCTACGGAATCGATTATGTATATCATACTTGTATATTTTGTATAATATATATATATAAGTTCTGTATATTTCAACACTAATAAAATATTTGTATTTAATTTAGATTAAATGCTTTTATCAATTATATATAAATAATATACTATATTGTTATCATACATTTTAATATTATATTAAACAACATAATTACTTTATAGCTATTAAGAATATAAAAGTCAATTGGTAAAACGATCCATACTTTGACCGCTTCTGTTGTAATTTTGAATGCTACTAGAATGTCGATTTTTGGTAAGGTTGTTTCCTTGTCGATCAACGGATTCCCGTTGATTACAGGGAACCAATCAGAACGATCCACGAAAAGTTATATCTGGTTATAAAAGAGAGAGAGGCAGGGAATAGAACGATTGAACTTTATAAGAAGAGGTTGTATTCGTTCCAATCTTATATTTTCAGTGAATGATAGTACCGAAGCAATTGTAAATATATAATTATTTTGCTAAGAAAAATGCAAGGATTCTTAGGTATGTTGTATAAATCGATATACATATAAGCATGTTTTTATCTTACAACTACCGTTACGATCCAACCGGTAGTTGTTTATCGTTACATATGTATATTATTTTATCTTTGTCAAATATTTATTTCCATTTATAAAAACTTACATATTTTTTGTATACTATTTGTATTGAAATTAATACTTTCTTTATTTATTTTATTTATAGGTATTCTAATATTAATAACTGGAGCTTATGGTCTATACTCCTCCAATTCACATGTTATAGATTTAAAACCAAACAATTTTGATAGTTTGGTATTAGACAGTAATAATGTATGGATCGTGGAATTTTATGCACCATGGTGTGGACATTGTCAACAATTAACACCTGAATATGATAAAGCTGCAACTGCTTTAAAGGTATATCTTACATTTGCAATCAGTATTTGCTTCTTTTTATTTGACATGCATTAATTGTTCATGGATATAATAAATTGCAAGTGTACATTTTCAATAGGGCATTGTAAAAGTTGGTGCAGTAAATGCTGATGAGCATAAATCTCTTGGATCAAAATATGGAATTCAAGGATTTCCAACAATTAAAATTTTTGGTGTCAGTAATAAACCAGAAGACTATAATGGACCAAGAACTGCAGCTGGAATTGTAGATGCTGCTTTAAATGCGGTTGGTCAGAAAGCACGTAGAGCTTTAGGAGGTAAAGGAAATGGTGGAGGTTCTAAGGTAAATCTGATTAATATATAAAATACAATGAAAATCAAAAGAAAAATTAATAAATATTAACAATTTTATTTATATTATAGTCTAAAGATTCCAAAGATGTAATTGAATTAACTGATGATAATTTTGATAAAATGGTATTGAATTCGGAAGATATGTGGTTAGTGGAATTTTATGCACCATGGTGCGGTCACTGTAAAAATTTAGCTCCCAATTGGGCATCTGCAGCTACAGAACTTAAAGGAAAAGTGAAATTAGGTGCTATTGATGCTACTGTAAACAGAGTTAAAGTTAGTAACTTACTGTAATTTTAATCCTATTAAATACATGTATATAGTTTGATATTATTTTTTATATGATAAAAAATTAATTTTACAGGCTAGTCAATATGAAATAAAAGGATATCCTACTATCAAATACTTTGCACCTGGCAAAAAATCATTTGATTCTGTGCAAGAATATGATGGCGGCCGTGTAAGTAGTGATATTGTAAACTGGGCATTAGAGAAGTTAGCAGAAAATGTTCCAGCACCAGAAGTAGTCCAAATTGTAAATGAAAAAAGCTTGAGAGAAGCATGTGAAGACAAACCATTATGTGTTGTCTCAGTTTTACCACATATCTTAGATTGTCAGTCAGACTGTAGAAATCAATATATAAAAATTTTAAATGATCTTGGAGAAAAATACAAACAGAAAATGTGGGGGTATGTACGAATTTGTTTAATATTTAGTAAATGAAGGAATAAATTTATATTTGATGTTATAAAAAATATAATATTTCTTAATAGATGGGTTTGGGCTGAAGCTGGTGCCCAACCTCACATTGAAGAAGCATTAGAAATTGGAGGCTTTGGTTACCCAGCACTGGCTGCTGTAAATATTAAGAAAATGAAATACTCGTTATTGAAGGGAAGCTTTTCTTACGATGGTATAAATGAATTTTTGCGAGATTTGAGTTATGGCCGAGGTGGTACAGCTCCCTTGAAAGGAGCGCAGTTGCCTGATATTCTAGAAACAACACCATGGGATGGCAAAGATGCTGAACTTCCACAAGAAGAGGACATCGATCTGAGTGATATAGATCTTGACGAAAAGGACGAACTGTAATTACAAATTCTGATTTTTCTCAGAAACATATGCACCATCATATAAATGTGTTAGTAAAAATATTTCGATACTTATTTTTATATAACATCATTATTCTGAGTTAATACAACTGCATATTAATGTACAATAACGTAGCGTCATTAATATAGTATCAGGAATATTTTTTTCATTTCATCTGAGATATATATATCCTGTTAGTTACGTATAAGTCCTCAGGAACCTCCGGTATGTTACATTAAGTGTTTAGATATCAATTCTTCCACTGAAGCCAACTTAAAAGAAATTTAGTCTATTATGTAAAATTGTGTATAATTTATTTTAAATGAAATTAAACAGGTACGTCATTTTTATTGAATAGAAAAAATGCATTATTAGAAATGCGTCCGCGTATTTTTAAGCAATTATTTGTACATCTTTTAAATAATCATAGATTATACGAAGTTGTAAAACTTTCTAGTAAACAGAAAACGTGTACTTGTCCTATAATTGTATTTAAACTGAAACTTTTTTATGGAAATGTTGTAAACATAAAATAATAATACATAACATATTAATGTGCATTCCATAAGATACTTTAGTTTTCCCTACAATGGGACCAAAGTAACTACTATCATCATTCACATTGCTGATCTTTAGGTTTTTCAAGATCTCATTATTTGACTGAGTTATGTCACGTCTTCCATCGTGATTATAGCAACTAACTTTATATCGTTATTTAAAATTATGACATAAAATATGTTTATACTTTTTGAGCATTTAAAGCAATCATTTTCTCCTCTATAAATAACTGATTGTAATTCTAGTTTAAGTTTTTATTAAATAAATTTAACTATAAACTTGTAATATACTTTATGGCTGTTTTGTTCCATTCAATAATATCTCGTTAATGTCTGAATTTAAGTTTATATGTATCACGATTGAGATATATACTCAAATACTTCATTTGTAATTTTAAAGTATAACTTGCAGTACCAGCAACAGTTGATGCATTAAATTACAGTATAGATTGCAGCACGGTCGTATTTTCATACTTGACAGAACTTTAGTTTAAAAGGTTAAGATTTTTAAATGATGAAGACTACCCACCGTTACATTAAACTGTATTTCCCGAATTTTCTGTTTAAAATGTCATAATGAATATTTTCAGTTTTTGCTAAATTAAATAATTTCGTAATAAAAATGGGTACAAAAACATTAAACGATATTCATAATGATATGAAACAATTAATAACAGCAATAACTTCTTTTGAGGTAATATTTACTATAAACAAATTTATTAAATGTTTTATTTTAGATTAAAGTAATTAAAGTAATATGCTGATCTCTTTTAGGAAAATGAGGAAGGATTTCGAGTTTGTGAACGTTTTTGTATGACAAATATTAAACATCATCGATTTTTATCTGTTAATAGCAGTACCACAAAAGAAGCAATCAAAGCTTTGATTACAAAATTTTCTATCCATGGAAAGTATGATGTAGCAAAAAAATTCAAAGAGCTTATTGATCTGTTTTTGTCTAGTTTTGATTTTGAGCAGCATCCACAATATGATTTGCAATGGTATTTACTAACATTATTATTGGAATTAGCAAAAGAAACTCATAAGTCAGATTTGGAATGTTTAAAATTAATACGTGGAGAATGTACTCTTAATGTGTCTGGTGAAAATGAAAAGGAAGTTCCAGAGGAAATTGATTGGGCTGAATATTTGAAAGAAGGTCATGAGAACTTTTTTGACAGCTATAAAAGTGATACAGAAAGTGTAAATATTTTTAATCACATGCACTGTGTTTAGGCTGTAATATATCATATTTGTACAAAATATTCTTAACAGGAATGGTCAGAAGAAGCAGAAGATATTGTAAATTTGAGTACCAATTTTGAAGGGTCTACTGATACCACAAATTTGGATAAAACAATATGTATACCAAATACAGAAAAAGAATTAAATACATTATCATTTACATTAAATGAGGAGCTTAAATCTAGAAATTGGTTACTATCAAATGTTCAGAATACATGGTGGAATGAATTAGAGTGGCGAAAATATCCAGTTAAAAGTAAAGTTTGTGATGCTCATCTTTGTGAAATTTGGTACTTATTTTATTTTATTTTGTTTTTATGATATGTTCAAATACCTTTAATTTAGCCAATGTTAAATAGGCATCAAGCAACAGGAGGAGATTTTTACACAATTGGAACTCTTAGTGAATATTCAGTATGCAGAGAATTGTTGTGGATGTTTTATGCTCCAATGCCTATGATGATATTCCAAATATGTGGAGATGCAAAATTTTCTATTCATTCCAATATATCTATACCCAGTTTAACAACTGTAAGTACATAAGAATAATCTATCAAATTAATGTTTTGATTATACTAAAATATTAGTGTTAAAAAATTTTAGGTTGCTTTTAATAGCATTCTTGCACCATTTTGTGAATATTTTTCAATGATACATGAAATAGAACAATTTGGAACTGAGCTATACTTAGAACAGGATGGTTTAAATAAGAAACCACCTTTAACTTATGAAACATACAATTCAATACTCAGACAACATTTAATAAAATTTAAATGTAAAATAATTGATTTAGAAAAAGATGTCATGAAACAAGGTATTATCAAGGTTTGCATAAATATCTAAGAGTTATGAAATTTGTAAAGGTAATTTCTGATTGTATAGTTAATTATACTGATTTTTCAGATAAAATCACTACACTTTTATCCTTATCATCCATCCTGAACAAAAATTTATACAACATAAAAATTTTATATCAAGTTCACAAAAAGGCTATATCTAATTGGAGAGTTTACCCAAATTGGAAATGCGCGTCGAGATTATTGTCCTCCTTATATTTTGAAATACAGAAATCTCACAACCAAGAAAGAACAAATATCTGTATAAGTTTATATTTATCTAGTCTCACTGTATATTTAAATATAATTGACACATGGTTAAGTGAAGGACGATTTGAAGATTGGAGAGAAGAATTTATAATTGCCAGGTAAAAATATATAAATGTAAAAAAAATTAAGAGCAATAGATCATAATCGTGTTTTTTAATTTTAGATCGCTAAATGATATAACTTTAGAAAATAGTGAGCAATATGAAACATTTTCTTTGAGACCTTTGGATAGTATATGTTTATCAGATCCTATAATGCGATTTTTAATAAGAAAAGTACAACATATTGCTCAAAGTATTGAGTTATTAGTATCTTTGGACCGTATTTCAGACATATGGAAAATTAATATTGGGAATGATGGTACATAATACTTTTGACTTTATTTTACATGTAACACTATTATTACAATATATCATACTTTTTATAGGAACGAAAACATCTTTGATTGAAGAATTTTATACTAAATTAGATGGAGAAATTTCTAAGTACAATAAACGCGAGATACAAACAGAAGTATCTTCAACTGATGATGAAATCACAGAAGATAAACATAATGAAGATATTGATAGAAATATCATACAACAATTAACTGAGTTTAACAATCCATTTTTGTTAAAAGCATTAGAAAGTTATCTTCCTTCTGAATTATTAAACAAAAGTACCACTAGTACTTTTATTTCTAAATGTCAAAATGACAAAGTAGGGACTGTTAATATATTTAGAAGGTATTATTATAAACTTAAGCAGTACTTTATTAGGAATGTTTTATATTTCAAAGACAAAATATACTTTTGTAGACTTGAAGAGGTATCAGATCATATATTGCCATTTAGAAAAATATTAGAAAATATATTAGCAGAGATTCTAACTTCACGGTATAATGGTGCGAGTAGATTAGTGAAACAAATGATGTCAGAAGAATATAAATTGGAATCACATTTAACACTAATGAGATCTGTTTATATGATGCAAGCTGGTCATATCATGAACAAGTTTTACCAAAAATTATTTCATGAGGTATGTACTAATATATTGTGTTTATATCATTAAATTTTTATTATGTGCATTTTTGTTTTAGATTGAAACTAATCGTATGTGGAATAATTCATATTTTTTATCATGCATATTGGAAGAAATTCTTTCTCAATGGTGGCCGAATTCAAGTTCACGTTGGTCTATTACAGTTTCTAACACACATACAGATCAAGTGTTACTGGCTGTAGATAATATAACGTTACATTATGCTATTGGCTGGCCTATGAATATTGTTTTAAACGAAAAAACTTTTATAAAGTATAATGAAATATTTAGATTTCAGTTAAAATTGAAGTGGGCTTTGTGGACATTAAATAATTTAAGATTTAGTGGTAAGATATGATTTTTGACAATGAAATTGCACTCCACTTCATATTTTTAAAATAGTATTGCAAACTTTAATACGATTCCAGATTTAGAAGGATCAAAGTTAATGTGTAAAAGAAATAAGTTGGAACAATTTCATATAAGACGAATTGAAAGTTTGCGATTTTGTTTACTACATGCAATCAGTTCTATACATACATATTTATCAGGCCAAGTACTAGAAAATTTGAGTATTATATTAGAGAAATCTCTAACGCAGACTGATAGCCTTGATGCGATTGTATCAGGTAAACTAATCAATGTTATCAAGATTTATTAATATTTCAACTTACATTTTTTAACTAAATATTTTAATACAATTGCAGTTCATAATGAGTATTTAAGAAAGGTTCATGAACATTGTTTATTAACGCACGAATACGAAGATTTGATGGCTACTATAATAAATGTATGATTGAATTTCATTATTTAAAATTGTTTATAGTTCATGTTATTTTACATAATTTTTTTTAAATGTATACTTATTTCAGTTAATTGAAATGTGCAGTCATATTCGAGCTCGGTGGAATTATGCAAAATTAATGTTTGTCAGTGAAGAATTAGATGTATTGGAAAGCAGCTATAACAAATATCATACATATCTTGCTTTAGCTTTGCACAACGCAATACAAAATAAGGATGCAAGTTACTGTAAGTCTACAACTTCATTAATAGTTTTATATATAACATACCAATTTAGAAATTTCACATTTAATAGAATTACTTCATAAAACAGTGAATTGTGTAATTAGATATTTGATAAATTGTTGTTTACTGCAAAATGTATATATGTTAATTCACATAATGAATATTTCTTTATATTATTTTATTTACAGTGACTGGTTTAAGTTCAGCATTTAACTGCAACATGTCAAGTGCTAAACACTAATATATGTCCATATCAAATTTTTTAATACTGTACTGTCATATCTATAAAAGAACGTGATACTGTAACAAATGTATATTATTATTAGAAATTTTTTTTTATATTTTTAGTATTGATTAGGTTTTGTACTGACTACAAATACCTTTCCATTAGTAAGAGTATCTCATCAATGTATTACTTTTATTAAAGTCTTGTAACTGGTTGTATTATAGCTCCTTCTAATAGCATATTTTCACATAGTTTGAAACTGTATTTTAAAATATTCTATTAAATAATTTACAAATAATTTGTAAAGTGAAAATAAATTTTATTTTAATTTTTGTAAATTTAATTTCTTTTTTCCACTTCACAATCCAGCCCAATTCCTATACATATTTTACAGACGAATTAATGCTACAATATCATATTAATTCAAGAAATGAATCAATAGAGAATGATGGTCTTATTTATCCGTTTAAAAATTTTAATCAAAGTTTATTAATCGAAATAGCTTATCAACACTTACCACCATCAGGATTATCTATTCCAATTCCAAAAATAATTCATAAGCCAGACTGGAATAAGAACAGGTAACAAATGTATATTTTGATTTCACACTTTATTACTATAGTAATAAAAATTTGCTATATAATAAAATTGTGATTCTGTCAAATTTGTAGTAAAATATTGTATAATTGTTTAAACATTTAAAATTTGTATTTTTCAGTTTCCAATCTGAATATTCTTTGCCTAATGATATTAATCTTAATGAATATGATCAAACATTTTCATATATACGGTGGTATCAATTAGAGGAAAGTATTATTACATTTAATTTGCTGTCCACGCATTCTTTAAATGAAGCAATGAGAGATTTTATTGATGATGATAATTCAGAAACTAGTTGATTATGATCTATATAATAAATAATTCATGAAAATAAATAGCAAAAAAATTAAATACTTGTGACAAAAATGTAAATAGAATTTAAAATAAATATTTATTAAGAATTATTTTTATATTTACTCTAAGCTGAACTTCTTTTGAACTCTAGTATTAATAGTATATTGTAAATTTTAATAGGTTTTAATACGCGTTTACGTTGTTTATTTAATATAATTTTATTAAAAACATTAATAAGAAATAATAAAGTAATTACATCTTTTAGTACATAAGTATTTATGAAATTAATATACAGATAATATGATTATGATTTATTAGCAGTATTTAGGATAAACTGAAAAATCCGCACAAACAATCTTTCTTTCTGCTTAAAGACTTAAATAGAACATTTTATGTATAAGAGTTAACTCTGTGCAATTACAACAGTACCATTTTGTCCCATTGTTCCACTTTGTGATACTGTAGGTGCATTTGATGTTTCATTGATAGGAGGTGTTGAATGATTATTAACATTTGTAGCAGTCATAGTTTTATTACGCAATTCAAAAACTTGTTGTATAGCTTTGCGAAAACAAAGGAAATTGTAATCAATTACACCTATAAATTAAAAGAAAAGTTTCAAAATTATTTCAAATCTGTTAATAAATTTTGTTAAATAATTACATTACCTTGTCTATCAAAATTATCTTCACGTAAAATACAAACTAAAGCTAAGAATTTATTAACTTCTCGCAGATATAAAATTGTTCCATTATTTAGTTTAATTAGACTAGAACTCTGATTATCAAATGCTGCAGCTTCTAAATCCTCCCTCAAACTAAAATTAATATAAACTTAATTATGTGCTTTGTATACTTTATACAATTTCATATAAAAGTTATTAAAACATACCCATATATACAAGATACATCAATAACAACATCAATCATATCACAGCAAAGCTCATAACTTTGCATATCTACAGGAGAACTGTCAGTTGCAATATAGATTTTAGATACTACATCAAATAAAAATGCTTTTTCAATTGCAGAATTCTGTAAAAATAATTTATTATTTTATAAAGAAACAAAATAAATAGAATTATATTTTTTCCTCTTACCGATATGAGTATGTTAAGTAAATTTTCTAGAGTTGGTAACTGTGGTATCAGCTTTTGAACAACTTTACTAAATGCTTCAAATATACTATGATCATATATAGATGTCAAATGAAAGCTTAGATGTATTTGATCACATCCTGAAATGTATGCAAGTTTTCATATGATATTAATGACATAAAAATATTGTTTTAATAGTTTTTTACTTACCAGAATCTGCAAGGTCATCATTTGCTCTAGTATGTATATCTCTTTGTGTTTCCATTTTACAGTCATCAGATAAACCATCTACCTTATGTATGAACACTTCAAATTTTATTGCTTGATTAACTTTATATGCTTTCGTAACTGTTAAATGAAGTTTATTAAGTGCTTCCATATAATCATCTTGAGCATCAATAACAAACACCAATGCTCCACAACCACCAAAAATCATATCACTGTCAAAAGTAGGATCAAAGAAGTCAATTTGTCCTGGGAAGTCCCAGATTTGAAACTGAACAAAGCTAGAGTTACTTATATCATCCTTAATAATTTTATTTGTGCTTTCCAAGAATAAGGTTTCATTTGGTGACATTTTATGGAAAACTACTTTTTGTATTGATGATTTTCCACTTCTAAAATAATTCATAATTTTATTTAATTAATAAATGATGAAATAACTTATTACACTGCAATAACCATTCAATTTAAATATTGCCAAAATTAATATACCTTCGAAGACCCATTAAAAGTATCCTAGGCTTTTGTTCCCCTGCTAAGGGATCCATAGATTCTTCTGTTTCTCCATCGAATGGAGCATATCCAAAATCTTTAGGGAAAGAACCTACATCATAACCTGCTTGATACTGATCGTCATCATCCTATAATATTTTTATTAATACAAATATTACAACATACACTAAGTATTATAATACCTTTGATACAGAGTACATAGAGTACATAAACTATCAAATACTACTTGAATACAAAGGTATACCATTTAAACATTGTATTTTTCTTTTTTTTAGCAATTACATTTTAAACAAATAATGTGACATAAGTAATTTGAAATACATTTATATATTATTCAAACAACTTCATCAATAAATAAAATGATTTAAATTATCAATTCAACAATTTAAATTATTGATGCACTTACCATGTTCTTACTTTATATATTTTAGTTATTTTTAAACCAAGGTATCCACAAACTCTCACAATATTATTGTACACTATAAATTTAAGAAACTGTGCGTTAATAACAATTAACAATCAATGCAAATAACATATGTACATGCAATTGCATGATTCATACTAAATTATACATAGTAGTGATACAATATCAATACACATTGATACACAAAAATAAATATTCATTTTCAATCATTTTAATTAATTGTAAATTAAGTTTGTATCATACATTAGAATAACATTCATAAATTTTTAATAAAATAGATCACATTTATTATCAATTTATTATAATGATAATTTTCATGCTAAATATGTTTATAATAATATGCACTGAAGCATATAAGAACGTATTACAATAACTCGTATGCAAATATTATACAAATAATTACAGCACTGAATGAATGAGGCATTCTTTATTTCATGAAAGAACCACAGAATATACCAGAGGCGACACTCTCAGTCGATGCCTTTGTTGTCTCGAAAACGCTGACCCTTTAAACTGGTTGTGCAAACGAGCGGGAAATTTCAATCGAGCAAATCTGTCAATCTCAAATAATTTGGAATATATTTGAAGAAAAGAATATAACAAAATGAACAATAAATTTGCATACAATAATTCGTAGATAATTTACAATAAAATATATCGTAATATATTAATTAACAATCATTTTGCAACATATCTGCAAGAATAAGTTAAGAAAAATAATAAATTTAAATAATTGCAACAATAAATTTGTTAATAAACAATCGAAAAATATAAAATTATGACAAAATTCACGTTAGAATACTTATACAACTTCCAATCGGAGTGGTTGCACGCTATTGGTCGATTACATGATGTCTAATTGGTTACTGTATATTACCAATCACTCCAACAGGTTGAATTTGATCTATTGGTCGATTACACGATCTCTAATTGGCTATTGCTAACAACCAATGACACTTACACTTGAGGAGGTCGAATGTATCAGTTCTGTTTTGGAAGTCGAGGAGGTCGTACGTCACCTGTCAACACTTACCGGTACGAGTCAAGGGTTCACTTTTTTGATACTGTGCTTGTCCCCGGGTTACCTAGAGTACTACTACTAGTCTTTAGTGTGCTTTAACAAATATTTTTTAATAAATACGTGGGTGTATTAATAAAATTTATGGTGTAATTCTACAAGTGTCAGTGACTTTAACAGTGTGTTTCCTGCATGCATATACGGATATATAAATGTACCTAGTGTGCTACTACTAGTGTTTAGTGTGCTTTAACAAATATTTTTTAATAATTATGGGGGTGTATTAATACGATTTATGGTGTGGTTTCCCATGTGTCAAAGTGATTACCGACGTGTTTTAATTTATAATTGTGCATGTGTATACGAATGCATTAGTGTGTTTTATAGTGTCGTTATACAAGTGTTTTACAATTATTTTTTAAATATTTTACCGGATTTTATGGTGTTATTATCTGTGTTTTTACAAATTCTTGTGAACATTTAATGAGTTTTATGGTGTGGTTACCTACGCGTTTTTACGAATTTTGTGAACGTTTTAATTTATAATTGTGCACGTGTATACTAATACATTAGCGTGTTTTACCGTTATTTTTCAAATATTTTACTGGTTTTGACATGCTTGTGCAAGTGCTTTAGTGTAATTTATAGCGTAGTTGTATAAGTGTTTTACCGTTATTTTTCAAATATTTTACTGGTTCAGACATGCTTGTGCAAGTGCTTTAGTGTAATTTATAGCGTAGTTGTACAAATATTTTACCGTTATTTTTTAAATATTTTACTGGGTTTTGTGGTTATTACCTACGTGATTTATACAATTTTTTAAACGTTTTAATTTATAATTGTGCATGTGTATACGAATATAATTAGTTTATTTTATAGTGTTGTACAAATGTTTTACCGTGATTTATCAAATATTTTACTGGGTTCTGTGGTGTTATTATCTACGTGTTTTCTAAATTTTTATGAATGTTTAGTATGTTTTACGGTGTGGTTACCTATGTGTTCCGGTATATTTTTGCAAACGTTTTAACATGTTGCATAAGTGTTCTGACATACATTTTCAAATGTTTTACAATATTTCACAATGTTGCTATTGATAAACGTTTGCAAATTTATAACCGAATTCTGTAATGTAGTTATTGTACTTCTTTATGTTAATCAAAATGCAAATCGATACACAGTTAATTAATCGTTGTGCTCCTTTTATGATTACAGAATGCCACTTCCACTTCACGGACAAGCCAAATCCAAATCTGACGAAAGCATCAACCAAGTAGCCAAGCAGTCAATCAATCAATCAATCAATCGATCAACCAAGCAGCCAAGCAGTCAATCAACCAAGCAGCCAAGCAGTCAATCAACCAAGCAGCCAAGCAGTCAATCAACCAAGCAGCCAAGCAGTCAATCAACCAAGCAGCCAAGCAGTCAATCAACCAAGCAGCCAAGCAGTCAATCAACCAAGCAGCCAAGCAGTCAATCAACCAAGCAGCCAAGCAGTCAATCAACCAAGCAGCCAAGCAGTCAATCAACCAAGCAGCCAAGCAGTCAATCAACCAAGCAGCCAAGCAGTCAATCAACCAAGCAGCCAAGCAGTCAATCAACCAAGCAGCCAAGCAGTCAATCAACCAAGCAGCCAAGCAGTCAATCAACCAAGCAGCCAAGCAGTCAATCAACCAAGCAGCCAAGCAGTCAATCAACCAAGCAGCCAGTCAATCGATCGCAGTGATGCAAGTCAACGATCGGTGAGTCGCATGCTTTACAATTCCTCCGGTTCCCATCATGTCGTAGGACGAATGGTCCGAAGCGACACGGGAACTGGTTGTATTTTTTATTATTTGAGCGAGCATAGTGACCACGACTGTACGATCGTGCAAAATTCGTACAAACTGTTTATTACATTTATTAGATCAGGATAGGGTTTTCTTGTACATCGCGTTTTAACTTAACTTCTTTACGAATCAAATTAAAATTAGTACATTGAAGTCGGATGACCCTCCGATTTCGTACTAGTTTAATTTTAGAGTCACTTTCAATTTTATTTTCACTTTCAATTGTATCGCGAACTCTTTTTAAATACACATATGTACAAGAAAGTTTCGCGGAAAACAGATTTTGATATCAAAGTTAATTATGAATGCTTTTGATCATTTAGTAAATTTACTTTGATATTAAAAATCTGTTGAGAATGAAACTACCGATATACTTAGATTTTTGCAAAGTGATCTTCCATTTTCCATTTTGAAAATTTTTTAAAGTTAGATTGTGAATTTTTTAAAGTTAGTTTAAATTTTTGCTGGAAGATAAATTTTTGTAGAGTCATTTTAAAGTTATATTTGTGCATACAAAATATAGAGTCAATTTTTTTGGGAGACACTTTATTAGCATGTTTCTAATTATGCTTTTTAGCTCAGGATTTTCAGCACACATGAAGAAAACTGGTAGGTCCAGATATTGTTGGCCGTGTTCACTTTTATGCTCTAAACTCATGCGCGCTATGCTCTAACTCATTCGAGTGCTTAGATGCTACTCGCATGGGTTAGGGCAGGTGGACACGGTTTAGTTTTAAGATGTATTGGCGATCGACAAATTGACAGTGAATTATCGACACAAGTTACACGTGTGTGTGTGGTTAGGTCGTGGACCTTGTGTCGATTTTTAACTATAGATTTATTATAAAAATTTTATTTATGCATACAAAATGCAAGTAGAGTCATTTCAAAATTATACTTGTGCATACAAATTGCAAGTAGAGTCATTTCAAAGTTATATTTGTGCATACAAATTGCAAGTAGAGTCATTTCAAAGTTATATTTGTGCATACAAAATGCAAGTAAAGTCATTTCAAAGTTATATTTGTGCATACAAAATGCAAGTAAAGTCATTTCAAAGTTATATTTGTGCATACAAAATGCAAGTAAAGTCATTTCAAAGTTATATTTGTGCATACAAAATGCAAGTAAAATCTTTTTATTTTTCTTACTTACCAAACTATCATATATATTATATAAAATTTCGATTTTGTTATCGATCGAAATAAATGGATAGTATTGCAATTTTATTCTTATAAAATTGTCTGTTATCTGTTTATGGAGATTGATAGTAAAATTGAGAATTTATGTAATTGAAAACTAAGAATGTCCGAGTTACCGTAAAACTTCGCGAGTGATTTTTGTGAGGCTTTGCCGAAGCGTGATTTTTATGAGGCTTTGCCGAAGAAAGAAGAGGCTATATGCCGAAGAGCCCCGGCAAAAATTGCCAAAGAAGAGGGGAACTATTAATGGCTGTCCATCTTAAGATGGAGAGTCATTTTGTCACTATGCTCGCTATTATTTCCTTGTGTTTTACAGGTATTTTTTTGAACGATACAAAATGTATCGTTTTGCTCGAATTTTTACGAGCAAAGCCACCCGCGATTTTTATGCCCTCCCAATTAAATTTCGAGATTAAAGATTTTTGCATAACTTCGCGATTAAATTTTGAGATTAGAGATTTTTGTATCCCTTCGCGATTCGAGATTTTTATGCCCGGCCAATTAAATTTCGAGATTAGAAATTTTTGCATCCCTTCGCGATTACAGTACGAAATTAGAGATTTTTGCATCCCTCCGCGATTACAGTACGAAATTAAAAATTTTTGTATCCGTATTACGAGATTAAAGATTTTTGCATCCCTCGCGATTACAGTACGAAATTAGAGATTTTTG